ACCCATATCTAAAGAAGCATGTGCTGGCATTGGAGGAGTTCCAGAGGAGGTTCACAAGAATGATCTGGGCAGATGAACTTCTTGTCATATGAGGAATAGTTGAGGACTTTAGGTGTATATTCCACAGAGTTTAGAAGGACGAGGGGGACGTCATTGAAACTTGCTGAATGCCAAGAGGCCTGGGTAATGTGGACGTGGAAAAGATGTTTCCACTAATAGAACACACTAAGGCACGAGGGCACGGCCTCAGAGTGAAGGGACAACTCTTTACAGCTGAGATGATTAAGAATTTTTTCAGCTAGAAGGTGATGAATCTGTGGAACTCAGAGGCACAGAAGGCTGTGGAGGCCAAATTATTGAGTGTCTTTGAGACAGAGATGACTAAGTCCTTGATTAATAAGGAGATCAAGGGTTACAAGAGGAAGGCAGGAGAATATGGTTGATCAACAGTCGTGATGAGTCAAATTGCCTAATTCTGCTCCTATAGCTTATGGTCTTATGATACTATTGTCATCCAGTAGCCTGTAACTAGTATATTGCCGTCAGGATCATAATTATTTATAAGATATTAATGACTGGGATGAGGGAAGTGAATACTACTGCCAAGTTTGCGGATGCCACAAAAGTAGTGGGAAGGAAAGTGGTGAGAATGACAGAGGTCTGAATCTTGTGGTTTTTTTTGGGTATGTTTCAGTTTCATGGAGTTTCTCTCCATGAGTGTTATCCTGCCAAATGTTATTAAACTCGTCTCATCAAGTACCTAGCCTATCCCAATGGTGATTCTACCATCAGACATTCCCAGAAGAACTTGCAGCTGACTGGATATCCCCCAAAAGACCAACATTCGCATCACAGCTATGCACCCTTAGGTGTAGTGGCATTCCGAAGCTGCCCCACTCCTTCCAAGATGGTCATTGCTTCGACGTTAAAGAAGGAGAAACTGATGGTGCGTTTCTGACAGGTGGAGATCCTGGTGGGCAAAGTGATCCAAAGATGCGATGTCCTCTTTCCAGACAACCGGAGAGGAGGCTATGCCACTGGGCCTAGCAGTTAGTCTGAGATCTTTACCAATGCCAGTACAATATCCTGGGGCCATAGGAACAGCCATCAGTCACCTTTCTACTCCACCAGGGTAGAGCCACAGTCTTCTTTCTGCTTCCTTACATTCACTCCATCTCTGCCACTGCACCCATTAGAGATTTGGGAGCGTTCTGCTGCAGCTCCACAGCTAGCTGAGGAAGAAAAACCCCAGGCTGCTGGAATTCAGAGGACTGCCAGACACCAAACACCTTCTCCACCACAGGCAGGAGAGGATGCTGTTGTGTGAGGATGCTGTTGTGTCAGCAATCAGGGACTTCGTCCAAATTCACAGGGAGAAACTGGAGCAGGAGACAGGTATGGGCTTTCATAACCCAGAGTCTGCAGAACTGCAGCCATAGAGTCCTAGCTTCCTTATGCATGTGACCAAATGGCTGCTGCTATACACAGGTTAACAGCTACAATGGGGAGCCGGGTCTCAGCATCCTCAGCAGCTGGCAGAAATGTATATAAACCTGCATTCCATCACCCCACCCATTGGTCCTCATCACCGAAGGCAAGGCGACAGTGGGAGAAGAACCTAATTCTAGGAGCTTCCTCCTCACAAGGAGACTAGGAAGTGGCAGGAGATAACTAGATGGAGGAAATCTCCATTCAGGGCACTCCAGAGCTTGAAAGTTCAAGCTGTTCTGCACCCAAACCCCACTTGCTGCTTGTTAGTATTGCTGAAATATTTAGTTTTTTCTATTCGTTTGTTCTTTGTTCATATTAAATATGATACTCCTTTGTTCCACTGGAACAGAATGCACATGGTTAAGTTAGCCATTATCTCTGCTAGAGTGAAGAAACTGACAGGTTATACAACAATGCCAACCTGGAAATAAGCAAAAACTGATCAAAAATTTTGAAAATGTTTGACAATTCAGAAATAGCCGATCTCAACCACACCTTTAAAATTTCATTGGCAGTATGCTGCTGGAATTGGGCAAGAGAGCAAACATGTCCTGTGAGTGGCACTGGGTATTCATCTGCAAGAGCTGTAAAGGATCTGTAAGGGACAAACTGCTTTTACTGCCTAGCCTCTTCACTGGCAGAGAGACTACAGGAGTCTTATAGGTAAACATAGCAATTAAATACTATTAGATCAAGACGGTATCGGATCAATGGAAGTGACTTATAATGTGCCAAGAAGAGTGATAAGTCTGATGATGTAGTATAGTTTAGGATTCAGCCAAAAAAGAAAATATGAATAGACTCACAAGGTGAATAAGAATTGATTAAAATACTCCTATCGCTATGTAAATAGGAAGAGATGGTAGTGAGTATTTGGGTCCTGAACCGGTCCTCTCCAGGCGGCATCCTTTTCTCTCTCTCCTTTTTGTCCTTTTTCTTCTCTTTCCTCATCTTCAAAGCCGGAGCGTTGTCAGCAGGGTGGTGGCTACAGCATTGACAATGTGAATCTTCACTCCTGGTGGCAGCAGCAATGCCTGGGACGGGGACTCCAGGCTGCAGTAGGCCCAGAGCCTGGACTCGTGGCCATTCCTGGAATGGAGATTCTTGGCTGTGATAGGCCTGGAGTGGGTCTTTCGGTGGTGTTGGTGAGGCAGCGGCAAACGTAGCGCCAGAGTCTCCTGAGACATCAGTGTTATCGTTGCTGCACCCGGAGCGGGGATTCCTTGATGCTTGGAATCAGAAATCAAAACACAGATGTCGAGGGAAGGAAGGGAGGAGTCAGAGATGGACCAGACAAAAGTGAAAGCAGAGTGGAAATTGGAAGTGAAATCGTCAAACTTTTCCAATTCTGGATGAGAGAGGGAGACTGCACCGATGTTACCTGGACCCTGCTTTCTGTAAAGACTCTATTCCATTCTTCCAGTTCCTCTGTCACCGTGGCATTTGTTCCAAGGATGCCAACTTTGACAAGGGTGCCTCCAAAATGTCCATCTTCTTCCTCAAAACAAGGATTCCACAGCACCATGGTTGACAGGGCCATCAGCCGGATCCAACCCATCTCTTGCACTTCAGCCCTTAGCCCCTCTCTTCCCTCACACAACAGCAATAGGGTCCCCCTTGTCCTCACCTACCATCCCACCAGAATCCACATCCAGATGATCATTAGAGGGACTGTTCCCTCCGGGATACCCTGGTCCACTCTTCCTTTACTCACAAAAACTCCCACAGTCTCATGGCAACTACCCCTGCAACCACAGAAGGTGTAACACCTGTCTGTCTACTTCCTTCCTCCCCACTATCCAAGGGCCCAAACACACCTTCCATGTGAAAAAGCACTTTACCTGCACTTCACACAATCTAGTTTACTGCTGTTGCTGGTCACAATGAGGTCTCCACTACATTGGGGAACCGAAGTGTAGACTGGGTGGCAACTCTACAGCACTGAACTTCCAGTTGCCTGCCACTTCAACACACTACTTTGCTCATTGACCAACATCTCTGTCTCAGGCTTGCTGTAGTTTTCCAGCGAAGCTCAGCGTAAGCTGGAAGTACAGCACCTCAGCTTTCCAGAGTCAATATCAAGTTCAATAACTTTAGAGCTTGAGCTCTCCTATGTCCTTACCCCAATCCCTACAAAGCATCCACTTCATCCTCGATCACAACGTCTTCATTTTTGACAACCAGTTCCTCGTCCAGACAAACAAAACAGCCATGGGAACCAGGTTTGTACCCCTCATAAGAACAGGATACATTGCTCAACTCATCGATCTCCAGTTCTAACGTGCAACAGCAAAAAACCGTAATGACCGCCTCAGAAGACAGACAAGGGATACGACTGATAGGGTACCCTTCGTCATCCAGTACTTCCCAAGAGTGGAGAAACTATGCCATATTCTTCGCAGCCTTCAAGACATTATCGATGATGATGAGCACCTCGCCACAATCTTCCTTGTATCTTTACATCTCGCCTTCAAACAACCGCCAAACCTTAAACAGACCATTGTTCACAGCAAACTACCCAGCCTTCAGGACAACATCAACCGCAGCACCATAGAACCCTTTCATGGCACCCTCATGCAAGACATGTTAGATCATTGACATGCATACTACCATCACACGCAGGACACCACCCACCACGTGCACAGCAGATACTCATGTGACTTGGCCAACATTGTCTATCTCATACGCTGCAGGCAGATGCCCCGAGGCACGGTATATTGGCAAAACCATGCAAACGCTACAACAGATGAATGGACAGTGCAAAAATTGCCAGACAGGAATGTTCCCTCCCAGTGGGAAACACTTTCATGGTAAAGGACATTCGGCTGCGGATCTTTGGGTAAATGTCCTCCAAGGCGGAATTCAGGTCACACAACAACGCAGAGTTGCCAAACAGAGGCTGATAGCCAAATTCGTTACTCATGAGGATGGCCTCAATCACAGGGGGACCCCACCACACTATACACTCACACACTTGCGTGCGCACACACACACACTCTCCCTCTCGCGTGCGTGCGCGCACACACACACTCCCTCTCACACGCGCACACTATCTCCCTCTCCCCCACGCGCGCGCACACTATCTCCCTCTCTCCCTCTCCCCCGCACGCGCTCTATCTCCCTCTCCCCAGTGCAAACTGTCTCGCTCTCCCCCTCTCCCCAGTGCACACAGTCTCGCTCTCCCCCGCGCACACTGTCTCCCTCTCCCCAGCGCACAGTCTCCCTCTCTCGCTCGCACACAATGTCCCTCTCCCCTATCTCGCGTGCACACTATCTTCCTCTCCCCGTCTCCCCTCTCGTGCGCGCACACTATGTCCCTCTCTCCCCATCGCGCCCGCACACTACCTCCCTCTGTCTCTCTCTCGCGCACGCCCGCACACTATCTCCCTCTGTCTCTCTCTCGCGCGCGCCCGCATACTATCTCCCTCTGTCCCTCTCTCTCGCGCGCGCCCGCACACTATCTCCCTCTCTCCGCCCAAACCCCTGCCGTCACGTTGCAGACACATCCAACCGCCATCCATCAGCCGAATCCCGGGATCTGCTGCGCATGCGGACTGCAATGCGAGCGCAGTTCCGTGTTGGTACGAACTACAATTCTCAGAATGCAATCGGTCAGATTTTTATCTTAATCGCCATCATAAACACTTTAATCCACTGATTATAGGAAAGCATTCATATCCTTCTGTACGTTCAATTTTATTCGTTGTATAACGATCAGCATTAGCTTGTCCGACGGCAGACAGCTAGCTGCGGTCGGTTTTTCGCCCGGACCCTTTTCAGAGCCGGATCTAGACCCGGACTGGATTCACTATCGGATCCCGCGCGACCGTTAAACTGGCAACGTTCGACAATTCGGATAGTTGGGCCGGCGATGGAGTTGTCAGTACTTATCAAGAAATTAGGTAGAGAGCGGTCCGAAACGGGGCAGATACTGTTCTATGGACTTGTCCTGATAGATACAATATATAGCGACCGGCTGGAATGGGGATCATTTCTCACTCTCATTCCTTCTTCTCTATAATACTGTGTAACGGATAGTGCTCTCTCCGTCTCCATGTATCTGTACTGTTCCTTGTCGAATATTTCTCGATAATTTGTACGTGAAGCATCTTTTTCTCTGCGGTTGTCCCAACGGACTATCTTTCAGCATGCAATACAATTTGCTGTGGAACGCAAGAGTTTCTTTTCCCCCTTTCTATAAGGCACCGTGACTGTGTAGCATTCCTTTCACTATTATTGGCTCTGTGGAGTGTATCTCTATATACATATTTGTTTTCTGGAGAGGCTTGTCTCTGTATGAGGCATCACGTTGTCCAGTTTGTCCAACTGGTAGAATATACTAGAGCCATTTGAAATAACAAGGTGTAGAGCTGGATGAACACAGCAGGCCAAGCAAGATCAGAGGAGCAGGAAGGCTGACGTTTTAGGTCTGGACCCTTCTTCAGAAATCATTTCTGAAGAAGGGTCCAGACCCGAAACGTCAGCATTACTGCTCCTCTGATGCTGCTTGGCCTGCTGCGTTCATCCAACTCTACACCTTGTTGTCTCAGATTCTCCAGCATCGGCAGTTCCTATTATGTCTGAACTCGAGCCATTTGCTGTGTTTGTCAATGCAATGTCTTATCCCAGCCTTCACGGCCTAAATGTAATCACAGCTAACAACATGAGTTAGGGTATTGGCTCTTCAGGGCTTTTTTGTGTTATTTTCACTTTTTAAAGTAGTCATAAATGTAGTCCTCTCTGTTGGTCTTGGCTTTTGAAGTTTGTTTCAGGAGCTTTGGTTAATTTTATGCAGAGCAACTTGTAAATGAATCAAACTGCTTGTTTCTATGTGTCACTGTGGAGGAAATAGATGTTTATGGAAATGGAGTTAATCAAGTAGATTGCTTTGACCAGGATGGTGTAAAGCTTCTTGAGAGTTGTCAGAGCTGCTCTCATTCTGTCTTGACTCATGTCTTGTAGTTAGCTTTTAGGAGTCAGGAATTGAGTTATTTGCTGCATGATTCCTGGCTTCTAACGTGCTGTGAAGCAACAATATTTATACAGATAGTGCAGTTCACTTTCTGGACAATGGTAACTCCCAGCATGTAGGTAGTGCTGGATTCATTAGTGATGCTATTAAATGCCAAGATTGATAGATAGTGCCTTGTTAGAGACATTGCATGCAGAATCATCATTCTGCCCCATGCTCCCACGTTGTGTAAAAAATTCCTCACTGAGCTATCCCGTCTTGGCCTCTGCATTGAGCGTTTCATCATTACTGATTTCAAGATTGGCAAGAGAAGAAAATGCAACTTTTAAGTTTACCCCTCTTATGCTGGTAGTTGATGTTTGGAACAGCATTGTGTTTGACCCATCTCATTGAACTGCAGTCCCATCCCCTTGCAAGGAATGGTGTTGTTTGAATATATCATTATAATGTGATAAGTTTACATGGACACCTTTCAGATTAAATTTGAATATTGTTCAATTTTGTTGCTATCATAAATTCTGATGTGCAGGTCTGAAAACACAGTTTTAGAGTACATTAATGCATTTTGGTAATTCAGTGTTTATCGACTGACTTCTAAAGGGTTATTTATATATGCTATTTTATACATTTTTCTTCAGGCTTGCTGATTTACGCTTTTTAACAGGATTTACTTCTAACTTTAGCCCTTTTTAATTTGATTGAATTTATTTTCCATTATTTTAGTTGCAACTAAAATAAAATTGTTCCCTTTTTCCAGTTATTTTGCCTACTTGCTTGGTGTGTTGTTTGACCCTGAGCTATCCTTCAAACAACATAACCTGCTTGTTATTTGGGCTGTCCAATTTCACAGTGTTACCTCTAATCACTCTGTCTCCATACTACATATATACACTGCATTAGCTGCAAGCACTACTTCTTTGCTTTCTTTCAAATCTTTTGAAATGATTTTCTTACTTGTGTTGTTTCATTTTTCTTAAGTACATCTTCCCAGAACTCTCTAGTTTCCCTCCATGTGCTGAGTTCAGAATGCTTGTCTAATTTCACAAATTCCCACTGCTGTATCTCATTTTACCTCTGCAGTGTCCTTTACCTTTCTTTTCTCCAGTCTTACCTTCCTTGTCACTTGTGGATGCCTTCCACCATTTCGTCTTCAAACATCTGAGTATGCTGTTTCAACCACTCCTCTTTAGCCTTGGTGCAGTTCTCTAATTTCAAAAGCCTCCTGAAAGCCCAAATCTTTAATTTTCACTTTGTTCACTTCTGTTTCTGTTCTTCTAATCTTTGGCACCTATGCCTTTTCTAGTGGTAGAGTTACTTGAAATTCACCAAATTGAAGGTGCTCTATAAACGCATAACATTAATCACTTGCTCTCTCCTGCAGCAAGAGGGCAACTAATCCAACTTGCTGTGCAGAGCACTGCTGCGTCAACAGGCACTATGACTCCGAAATTTGATACAGCGTGTATTCGTTTTAACAATCAAAACCCTAAATTTGCACTGTGGAAGTAGGAAAATCATGCAGAGAAACATTGCAGCTGCGTTAAGCAGCGGTGGGGGTGGTGGGGAACTAAAGACTGGTTTCTATTAGCCACCACGTAGGATGTTGGTGGGAGCTTGTTTTCTGATTGAACATGTGGTAATTTAAAAACATGGGATGATTCATCCTGGCATAGCCTGAAGATGGTGCCTCTGGACAATGTCTTGCTGCTTAAAATCAGTCCAGGAATTTTCAGAAGACTGAGAGAAATTGTTTCAGACCTTCAATGTTATGAGTTGGTGAACTGGGGAGGAGGAGGCCTATTGGAAGGTAGGAGAACAAAAGATTTTTTTGTTCCCTTGTAAAAGTAGTGCAGTGTAACATTGAACCAAAACTCCTCCACTCTTTATATTATCAAGATTCTCTGGAGCTTAGTTACATATGAAGTAATCAACATCCTGTGATTACCATTGACCAAAACTGATCTGGACTAGTCATAAATACTATGGCTACAAGAGTAGGTTAGAGATTAAGAATCCTGCAGAGAATAACTCATCATCTGCCAAAGCCTTTCCATCATCTACAAGGACCAAGTCAGAAGTTGATGGAATACTGCCCAACTGCCTGGATGAGTGCATAGCACCTTCTATAGCCAAGCTTGACACCATCCAGGCCAAAACTCACTTGATTGTTACCACATCCACAAATATCCTCTGCTGCTGAGCAGCAGTATACCCATTAACAAGATGTAATGCAGGAATTGCACAAAGGCTCCTTGAACAGTACCTTCCAAACCCATAACTACGACCATCAACCAGGACAAGGGCAGCAGATACACGGGGAACACCACTACCTTTGACTTCCTCTCCTCTGCCATCCTGACTTGAAAATGTGTTGCCATTCCTTTACTGTAGCTGTGTCAAAGTTCCGGAACTCCCTCCCTCATATCAGTGTGGGTGTACCTACGTCAAATGGACTGCAAATGTTCAAGCAGTCAGCTGGCCACCACTTTCTCAAGGACAATTGGGGATGGTAAACACTTACATGTGTCAGCCACCAGGAATTCGAGTGTCTTTTTAAAAAAGTTATTAATGGTAACACCATTAACAGCTGTACACTTTGGCCTGAAAATAACTATCACATGATTATGTGCCAAGCTTCTTTGGATTAATCTTGCTCTGAGGTGAAGAGTATCGCTGAACAGTAGTGAAGACTGGGATAATCTGGATCGACAGTTGCGGTTAATTCGTAGTTGAAGTTAGATCTGATAATGTGGAAACTTCATAAGTTGAAGTTTTGCAGAACCTATTTTCCCATTAGTTCTCGTCATTTGATTTGGCACATGTTTTTATCACCTAAATTTTGGAGTACCATCTTGCAATGTGTTGCCTTTGTTGTTTTATTTGTGGTTAGTTGTGTGTTGTATTAGGATCTGTAATGTGATGGTGGTTTGGTTATTGAATTACTGGCAATAACTGAACAGATCCTTCATAATTCTACATTCTAGCATTGTTCATACTATGAAATGCAGCAGGTGGAGAAAAGTCTCACATTGACCATGCTGCTACAGCATAAAAATGAAAATCTGAATGAAACTTAAAATGTCAAGTGGACTCAACTTTTACTTTGCTTTTTCTCTAGGTCACCAGCTTGTGGAAATTAGAGTTCGAGCGCTGAAGAATATTTTGTGTAAAATTGATCATGGTTTGATATCTGTTGTTGATCTGGCTCAAGAAAAAAGTCTTTTCATTCGACTTCTGGAATGGTTCAACTTTCCAACTATTCCAATGCAAGAAGAAGTACTCACGCTATGTAATCGCCTTGTAAAGGTGAGTTATTTGCAGAGCGTCATCTTCTGCACATTATATTTTTGTGTATTAGAGAAATAATTTTAGTTTAGTTTTGAAATGTATAATGAATATTGTTTCAGTTGGTTTTACATTTGCCAATGATTTTTATAACCAAAATAGTGTCAATGAATAATGACACAAGTGAAAGAATCCTGGCAATCTGTACAGTGTCTAGCTACATGTTGTGAAGTTCCTGCTTAGCTGTTACAACTTAGATTTCTGTGGAAGGTAAACTCTGATTATTTTCCAAAACCTTTGCAAAGAATCTTCACAATAAATGCTTAGGGTGATTGCCAGCTGCATCAACAGGCATTGCAGGTCATGTGATAGCAAAATATACAATTTTTTTTATGGAGGGTGAGGCACAAGGAGAACTCTTTTCCTCTCTGAATAGTGTCAAGGAGTCACATTCTCTCACCCAATAGGGCAGGCTGTGCTTCAGTTTAACGTTTTGTCTGCCAGTTCCAATCTGCTCATTTAGCTGTTAGCAAATAAGCTTCGCTTGTAAATAATTCCTCGACTCTTGATCAACTGCAACTTGCTAGAACTCATAGCTGCAAAAAATTGAATTTACAATTGGCATGAAATTCTTTGCTGTAGAATTATTTAGCCATCTTGGTAAATCCCTGTTTTTAAAAACACTACTTTATCCTTGCAGTCCACATTTTTAAGGGCATGCAAATAGAACCACATGGTTCTTATACCACAAGTGCAAAATTAACCATTTGAGACTAATGATGATGTCCAGCACTAATTAAAAGTTAGTATGCCCTTAAAAACCCAGTTACATCTTTTTCGTGGATTTTTACAGCAGGATCAATGTTGTTAAAATGGAAGTTCTTATTAGTTCAACAATTGTAGCCTGGGACTGGGGTTACCTCACCAGTGCACTTTCTGAAGTAACGTAGAATCAATGACAGCAACTGCTGGAATTCTGTGCGCATACAGATTCCAAATATTTCTGACCATTTCACAGGAGTAATGACACCAAATCCTGGCTTTTCTTTTATTCATTCATGGGACGTGGGTGTTGCTGGTTAGTTGAACATTTATTGCCCGTCCCTAATTGCCCACAGGGCATTTGAGAGTCCACTACATTGCTGTAGGTTTCGGGTCACATGTAGGCCAGACCAGGTAAGGATGGCAGACTTCTTTACCGAAAATTCCTGACAATCAGCAATGATTTCACAGTCATCATCAGATTTTTATTGAATTGAAATTCCACTATCTACCATGGTTGATTTCGAATGCTGGTGCTCCGAGTGTTATCTGCATCTCTGGATTAATAATCTAGCAACAAAACCACTAGGTGGTTGTCTCCCCTGCCATTACTGCCAAAAAATCTAGGCCAGTGTAACAATAAAGTTCTTAAAGGGTCAGTATTGCTTATTTTTCATTATAGAATTTTGGAACATACTTTTAATGTCAAGTTAGCCTACAATTATAAAATGAAGAGGAGTAAAAACTGCATAGTAAATTAAGTTTTTTTTTTTTAAAAATCATTTAAAGCATTCTTCAGTTGCCCGATTATTTCGAGAAATTGGAGCTTTAGAATTTCTAGCACAGCTGCGATCCAATGTGGAGCCAAAGTTACAAGCGTGCATCGATGAAGTTATGGATGATCTGTTCAAACTGCCAGATACAATTGTTGATGTGCCACCTATTGCCTATCAGTCACAACCTCTGAAATCCTCTGATAATAAAGGTAACCTGAACAATTCTGATGTTAAACCTATGTGCTGTGATATTGGGAGAATACAATCTATTGTTTTGCCATATAGCTCGCTTTTAAAACTGTGAATAGGTATGGAGCATTTTTTTTATTGTCATGTGTATGAGCTATTCATGTAATACTTCCTTGCTGTGACACTTAAGAAGTTTCCATGAAAATATCACCAGGCTGTGAATAAAAGAATATAATAGGTAAAGAAGGACTTTGAAAGGGCTTTAAATATAATATTCTTTGAGCACACAAAATTTAAAAAGAAGATTGTAACATAGAAGTAAACCTTGGTAACTGTTGAGAAAAATAATTAAATCAAGATATAAAGTGTAAAAACTGCCGCAATAACTGGTAGGAAATGGAAGCTAGAATAGAGATTTCTTGCGGAGTTTGCTTTCTGCAAGAGCTTGTTTCCTCATGAACTTGGAGTTGAAAAGAATGTTGTAACTGATAAACAAGATTTTTACAAATTGAGTTTGCTCTTTATATATAAGAACAAAAACAGGAGTTGCTGGAAAAGATCAGCAGGTCTGGCAGCACCTGTGAAGAAAAATCAGAGTTAATGTTTCAGGTCCAGTGACCCTTCCTCAGAAGAGTTCTGATTTTTCTTCACAGATGCTGCCAGACCTAAGCTTTTCCAGCAACTTCTGTTTTGTTCCTGTTTTACAGCATCTGCAGTTCTTTTGGCTTTTATTTGGCCTTTATACCCTTCCTAGAGTTCAGTGGTTCAGTCACTCCTGTAACTGCGTTTAGAGTTCTTCACTTTCCAAAGTATACTCTCATTAAACAATGGGGAGATGATGGTCCAGTGGTATTATTGCTTGACTATTAATCCAGAAACTCAGCCAGCATTTGCAGTTCCTACTATCTCTGATATTCTGGGGACCTGGTTGAAATTTCAATTCAATTTTAAAAAATAATCTGGAATTAACATTCTACTGATGACTGTGAAATCATTGTTGATCATTGGAAAATGCCCATCAGGTTCACTAATGTCCTTTAGGGAAGGAAACTTCCGTCCTCACCTAGTATGGCCTACATGTGACTCCAGACCAAAGCAATATGGTTGACTCTCAACTGCCCTCTGAAATGGCTAGCAAATCACTCTGTTGTATCAATTGCTACATTGGCTACTTGTGTGAGAACATAAACCAGAGGTGTAAAGGAGCTAAGGAGGGCCAAGAGATTGATTAAGAGGGGAAGCATAGTAAAAAGCAGACAAAGTATTTCTATAATCACATAAAAAGGAAGATAGATTAGTGAAGACAAATGAGAGAATTGATAATGTGGAATAAGGTAATGGCAGAACAATTAAACAATGAAAGTATCTTTGTTTTATTTTCACAGAAGAACTGACCAAAAGTAGGGTGGCTCATTGGCTCAATGGTTAATGCTGCTGCCTCACAGCACCAGGGACCTGGGTTCGATGCCACCTTTGGGCCACAGTCTGTGTGGAGTTTGCACATTCTCCCCGTGTCTGCATAGGTTTCCTCCAGGTGCTCTGGTTTCCTCCCACAGTCCAAAGATGTACACCCTGGATGGATTTGCCATGCTAAATTGCTCAAAGTGTTCAGGGATCTGTAGATTAGGTGGGTTAGCCATGGGAAATGCGGGGTTACAGAGAAAGGGTAGAGGGGGCTGGGGCTGCGTGGAATGGTCTTTGGAGGGTCAGTGTGGACTTGTTGGGCCGTGGGCATTCTATGATAAGTGCTAGGCAAGTAAGCATCTTTCGGGAAGCAGGGATTGAAGCAAATTAGCTCGAGTAACAAAAAAAGCTGGAGACATTAATGGGACTGAAAGATGATAACCTACATTCCAGGGAACTAAAGGACGTGATCATCGAAATATTTGATGTGTTAGTTGTCATCTTCCAATATTCTGTAGATTCTGGAACAATCCCAGCAAATTGGAGAGTGCCAAATATTATCCCACTGCTTAAAAAAGGACAGAGGGAGAAAGTTGGTAATTATACACTAGTTAGCCTAATATCAGTAGATGGTAAAATTTTGGAACCTATTCTCAAGGGTGTGAAAAAAGAACACTTTTAGAAGAATAATGACCAAACTACACCCCATCCAACTTTGCTTTGTACTATCCCGGTCTCTCTGAACAGTCTAAATTCATTGGTTCAATGCTTGCTTCTGGTGGCGAGAAAAGTCAAAAAGAAATTTCATGCATGATAACAGGGTAGTGAAGGAGGAGTTTGGTGTACACACCTTTATTGATCAGTGCATTGAGTGTAGGAGTTGGGAGGCCATGTTGTTAGTGTACAGGACATTGGTTAGGCCACTTTTGGAATACTGCATTCAATTCTGGTCTTCCTATTATAGGAAAGATGTTATTAAACTTGAAAGGTTTCAGAAAATATTTACCAGGATGTTGCCATATTTGGAGGATTTGAGCTGTAGGGAGAGACTGAATAGGCTGGGACTGTTTTCCCTGGAGAGTCAGAGGCTGAAGGGTGAAGGGCATGGATAGGGTGAATGATCAGGGTCTTTTCCCCAGGGTAGGGGAGTCCAAAACTAGATGGCATAGCTTTAAGGTGAGAGGGTAAGAGGGTGGTGCATGTATGAAATGAGATGCCAGAGGAAGTGGTGGAGGCTGGTACAAATACAACATTTAAAAGGCATCTGAATGGATATATGCATAGGAATGGTTTAGAGGGTTATGGGCCAAATGCTGGTAAACAGGACTAGATTAATTTAGGATGGCTGGTTGGTATGGACGAGATGGACCGAAGGGTCTATTTCTCTGCTGTACACCTCTATGCCTCTGTGAAAATACATGCTTGATGAGACTTAACACTGCCAGTAAATGGCAACTGGATAATTCACCTTTGCATCTTGTAATTTGAAGGTATTCACCATAATCCACCACTGGAGGTGGCATAAAGATCTTATGTGGAACATTTCAGGAGTAGATGAATATTAGAAGCTCATTGTTAGTAAATAGGACCTATTTTACCTTCAAAGTAAATTTTCATGGAATAAAAATGTGCCCATTTGTAATAGCACTCTACATTAATTGCATGCAGAGGCACATTTTATTGGGTCTTGTCCACACAGATAATAGCCACCATTTTATATATTTTACTGATGGTAGGATTCGCATTTAGAATTACAGTGACCAACTGCGAAGAAAGATATTTTCCATTGCATCAAAATCATTTGTTGACTAAAATTTGATACAGTAAATAAAAATATAATTGTTAGTCTGTCTCTGTCAAATTATCTCCTGTGGGAAAGATTTAGGTGTTTCATCTTGTGGCTTTTTGTAGAACAATATAAAGTTCCGGTTTGAAATGTAAAAGTGATGTTCAATGTAGTACCTATCTATGATATTAAGGTAGTATTGAATGTTTTAAAACAAACTTTTAAAAACATTTCTACAGCTATACCTCCTGTAACATTCGAAGAGGAAATAGTTGGTTACTTTCAGAGAAGCAGCTGCAGTCAAATACAACAAAGCAGAATTTTGCCTCAGAAAGCAGTTGGTGAGTTGGCCTGAACCTGTGGGCTTGATATGCTTTTGGATATAATTCTTGATAAAAAGAAATCCCAACATGGTCATCTGCTTTAACCTTCAATAAGGTACTATTGTTTTAGTTAAAAAGCAGAAAGTGCAAGGAAACTACTGAAAAAGTCAAAGTCGGCGTACGATCATGCATAAAGTGACTGAGTTATTGGTCATTACCGAATTAAACCTTTTTTTAGGTCAAAATGTTATTAGAGGTTCATTGCACAAATAGGCCCCCATTTCAAGTTGTTTTATTGATATTTGCCAGTCATATGATATATACCTATTTTGTTTTGTAGAGAAAAATTCCCTGAGCAGTTGACAATTCCTTTTTGCTGTACTTTCAACACCTGTGTCATAGATTTAAGCAAGGAAGTGACACCTGTTCATTAGCTAGAGCACAAGAGTTTTTGTATTGTCTCGAAGTTTTTAAGAAAATGTGTTTCTGATTGAATATTGTCAGGAGCCCTCTTTCATGTATTGGTATAATGTTCTTTGAGAACACAAAATGCATATAATACCTTTCAATATCTGAAAAGATAACTGCACCTTAGGTGGAAGGAACAGAAATCAAAATATTGTGAAAACAGTCATATTGCTGAAGTGTTTTGCTTTGCATTCATCAGGACAAAAACAAGTGCTGAAGTGGGTCATGCACATTCGCTAGAAACAAGTAGAGCCCTATTCTCTCAGATAAAGGAATATGTTCAAGTCTTATGCCTGTTTTGAATTACATTTCCAAAGAGTTAGGGAGCTCACAGTTCTCCATTCCTTTTTCCATGGCAATGCCTTGGCCAATAAGATTCAACTTGCCAACCAATGAGCATCCTTTTCTCTTGTTATAAATTATTGTATTTGTTCTAACAGTTTGGCCACACATCTCTATTATTAGTTACGGAAATAAGACACTTTCAGTTTTTTTCTCTATTATCTTACAAATCTGTGTGTACGTTAGTAATGCTGTTGACAATGCTAAGATGGAAATTATAATTCCCAGGTCTTAAACAAAACAGTACAGAAATAGCAAAACTATGAAGGAACCATTTCACTGAATGATTTTACGTTTTGAGGTATTGGTTGAGAAGATACTTTCTCTCTCCAAAGCATTGAATATGTCATTGACATTAACTGTAAATTAAAGCATATGGTTATTTTGCAATTGATTTTGCACTCCAGTTTCAAGATTTTTGTTTTTTGCTATTAGGTAATGATACAGTGAAATGCCTGAAGTATTCCACCTTTCCTTGGTTGACGCTCACTATGACAGATAGGCATGTTCTTTCATCAAATGAAAGGTATGTTATAGCAAGTTTGATTGTATGAATGACATTGGAAAAATAAATTACCTTAGCCTAAACTTAATTAAAAAGCTATTTTGCAATCCTGGTAAGAAAATGGACATTGCGGATTTATGTTTCTGTGTAAGAGAGCATGAACTATTAACATGTTGCATATCAAACAAATTACCCGGGCTTGTATTGTGGTACCTAGTAGTCATGTGTATGATTCATAGCTCTGTGATTCCATTCATACAGGAATCCTTTAAATGCGTTGGTGATCCAGAATGGTGTGATTGAAATAACACTTTTTTTTAAATAGCTTTGTATTAGCCTCACTTTAAAAATAAGAATTCAAAATTGTGAATTAAAAGGAAACTACTTTCTTGTACACAGTTCGGAAAATGTCTTCTGAAAGAAGTACTGTATTCCATTTAAAGTGCATAATTTAGGTTAGATGCATCCTATTGGTTTAGCCATTCCTAATTAGCTCACCTCTTCTGCACCACTATTATCTGTTAGTTATTTGTTGCGATGAACTCTGTGGTATTGCTGTTCTTTGCTGGCTTGAACGTGTTCTTAAGCTCCACTGAAACCTACAACATTTTAAAGAGGCCTTGGGGCCTTTCATGAGAGAAATACTGCAGAAATTATCTGATCAGGGTAGGTATTACTTGGCAGGATGGCTTTGATATACCATATTTCAGCATCAAGCTTGTGTAATGAACAAATGGCTTGGGCATTATTTAGGAGATTGCTGATAAAGTCTGTCTTTTAGCACATTGATTTGCAGCAATCTGAATGTGTATATTGACCAGTAAAGATAGGCTTGAGGTAGACATGGAATATTCTAAGTCAGCCACTCTTGGTCCTGAAAATTGCCTACTACCTTTGATTACCAGGAAGGTCAATGTATCTTAAAAGTTTGAGCAAGAAGTGAAGCTAGCTGTTTCACACTGCTACTATACAGTAACAACAAAAGTGAAACAGAAAGTTGCTGTTAAGGCAAATGATTAATGTGATTTATCTGGTCTGCAGTTCTGGTCACTGCACGGGGAAGAATGTGATTACACTAGATAGGGTGCAAAGGAGATTCACCAGGGATGTTGCTTGGCTGGAGCATTTCAGCTATGAAGAGAAACTAGATAAGCTAAAGATTGTTTTCCTTAGAGTAGAGAAAGCTGGATAGGACTGGAGGTGGGGGTTAAGAATCTGATTTGAATGCTCAAAATTATGCAGGGAACAGATAGGAAATTTTCTTCCTATCCGCAATCTTAGCAGAGGGATGAGTAACCAAGGGGCATAGTTTAAAGGTAAAGGGCAGATGATTTGGATGGATTTAAGGGACAGTTTTCACCCAGAGGGTGACTGGTATCTCTACCTCATTGAAGGTGGTAGAGGTAGGAACCATCTGAACATTTACGAAGTATTTAGGTAATCACTTGAAGTGCCATGGCGTACAAGGACATGATCCGAGTGCTGCAAAATAGGACTAGAATGAATAGATGCTTGATGTCTGGTGCAGACATGGTGGACTGGAGGATCTCTTTCTGTGCTCTCAAACTCTGACTCGGTGAATGCCACTCCTGCTGTGATGCCACATACGCAGGCTATTCATCCCAAAGATTGGTAGGTCTTATCAAACAGCATGTCCCTTCAGCCGGTTGCAAGAAACAAGGTACTGACCGTTTCCTAACTAGCCTATACTTCCAAAATTCACAACACTGTGCCTAATATTAGATGTGAATCTGCAGTTTGACAATATTTGCTGGGTAATACTGAATGTATATGGAACTAATTTAGTGTTATCAGTTGGGCTCACAGTGTGATGCACGTGTGTACTGGAATCTACATATATTAATACATAGGTTTTTGTTCTTTGTCGTTAGAAAGACCATTTACATGCACTGTACTTGTGTGGACTCGACGTAATCAGTGCTAGCGATTTGTTGGCTCATTGGTCAGGATACTATTCTGTGAAGTTGGTGTCAACCTGCCTGGTTTAAAATTTAAACACAGCCAGGTTGTCAACTATCAGTCTTGATTGCCATGGAGAATGCACTAGCTAATGTTTCTACCAGTCAGAGTCTACTTGCTAACCAATCAGTTCTCTCCCCTCATGCAGCATAAATGCTAGCTTTTGTTTCCTTGTTTGTGTTCCTGCGAATTGTCCTAATGACTGCAAGATGAAAACTTCAACAAAATTAGCCTTCCAAGTTCCAGCAGTATTTTAAAAAAAAATTGGATTTCAGCTTTCAAGACAGTATTCTAATGTATGTGTTTCATAGACTATCTGCCTAAACTCAGAATATGTTGTGTGGAAAAGCGAAGAGTTTTTAAACATATTGCTTATTTTTGAACAGCTCTCTGAAAAGCAGTAATCACACCTTAGTTCGCAATACTTGTGAACTTCTGCAAGATGTCATAATGCAGGATTTTCCTGCTGAGATCTTCCTTCAGCGTCCAAAGATTGTCCAGGTAAGAGACACATTATAATTCTTTTTATAGAATGTTTCTTTATAGAATCCCTACAGCATGGAGGCAGGCCACTGAGTCCACACCGACTCTCCAAAGAACATCCATCCACACCCATCCTTGTAACCCTGCATTTCCCATGGCTAATTCACCTAACCTACACGTCCCTGAACACTATGGACAATTCAGCATGGCCAATCCACCTAACCTGCATATCTTTGGACTGTGGGAGAAAACTGGAGCACTTGGAGGAAACCCATGCAGATACGGGGAGAATGTGCAAACTCCACTCAGACAGTTGTCCAAGGCTAGAGTCGAATCTGGGTCCCTGGCACTGTGAGGCAGCAGTGCTAACCACTGAGCTATGTTAAATGCTGGTATGTATATCTCTGAACCTTCTCAATTCTGCGATAATAGGTCCAATTTAACAGTTAGGTTATCAATTAATACAGAAGCCAAAGGCTTATTCAGAGTTTATCATGTAGAATGTGATTAACGTTCTAAGCCATCCCGAGCCCTTCAATTCATTGTATGCCATGTCAGATTGCAAAATTGCTCTGGGACCAGAAAAAATAACCATGAAAGCTGCTGGTTCATTACAAAAACCCAATTGACTCACTGTAGTTCAGGGAATGGAAAATCTGACCACTTGTCTAGCCTTACATTATGTTGTTGATTCTTATTGTCTTCTAATGTAAATAAAAGCATTTACTGTTAAATAAGAAGGTATACACTACCTTCTGTTCACAGACATGCAAGAATAAACAATCGGTATAAGCTGATTTCCACTGTCATCCTGAATTTTTTTTAAAAAAGACAGGCTTAATCTATCAGAAGATTATAGCTCAATGGTTATTTGAAATTAAATGTCTCTGTTTTTAAAAGATATGCTGCGCTAATAATTGTATTTCACAGTGAATGAAGATTGTTACTGCTTTCTTTGAAATTAAAAGTTAATTATGTTGAAAAACAGATGCTACATTTCCCTGTATGTAGGACTTTGTTTTTTTTAATCTTGAAACAACTCAGAAGTTTGTGGTTCGTTCAACAGACGAAGGATGAGTATTAAACTATCTCACTTGGTATGATAGCATAAAGGTGCAGTCTCATGTTGTATTTGTGGAGACTGTTATGGACTAGACCAGAACCCCTCAAAATACTTTAAGAAGATAGCCCAGACTCTAACTTTTTCTAACTTTTTTTTTATGGTAGGTGTGAAGTGAGTATTCTAGCTGTGATGCGATGGTCAAACTACATGACGTTAGTGATTTATTTAATCACTATAGTTAAAACACAAACAAAAGAAAGAGAAAATTAGAGTAATTAAATTATTGGAAAATTTAACCAAATATTAGATACAGTACCTATTACTAATCAGCTGTTCCAATATAGTAACATTCCATAAACACACCCTTTGGCGAAGAAGCAAATTCAGACACAGATTTTTACATGTGGCTCTCCAATCCAGGAGGAAACAACATCGAGAGATTTCAGAGAAAATAACAGCTAAAAATCATTCACTGAAGCTTCCAACTCTCCTGAGTCCCCAAACAACTTCTGCCTACTAAAGCTAAAAATAAAGAAAGTGAGAACTGGTTACTCCCATTCAAGCTGCTTCCATTGTTGCAACATTTAAAAACCTAAAGGCCTCCTACGTTGTTTACTTAAGCCATCTCAGCAGCCAGTTCCGTACATTTGCCAAAACAACCTCTCTTCAAAAAAAAACCCAGGACAAAGTAACCTTTTTCTAGTGACAGCATTGTCATAAGACAAGCTGTCAAATTTAGTTCTGAGACAGCATAAAAGTTGCATGGTTTTTTGATTCTTTCCTGGTACATGGTACACTGTAGGAAGGCAAAGAGAAAGGGGAGACAAATGAAGATTAGTAACATGAATTTATGAATTAAATTAAACAAAGATTATCAGAGGCTTTTAGGTTTGTTTTTGTTAAATTTGGAAAAAATATGTTGTCATATACGGTTGGATGAAACAGTATGCCTAAATGAAACTTGAATATGGAATTTAGGACAGATTTTGGGTAGAGGTTAGAAATCTAGCTAACGATTATTAATTTCAGATGCTCTTTCACCTTTGAAATTGGTTGAGTATTTAGAAATTGGCCAATGTTTATTGCCTATCACTAATTTGGTTTCATTTGGTGCTGAGTCACTCATGACCTGTCCAGTTTATGTGTTGCCGATGCAGTGACATTGCTATCAGAAAGTTCCCAAAGTTTTTTATCAAGCAACTATAAAAGGAAAGGTTATGTATTTCTGAGTCAAGAATGGCGTGTGACTTGGAGTGAGCTTGGAAGTGGTGGTCCCATGCAACAATTATCTTTGTTGTTCTTGGTGTTTGAGGTTGCAGATTTGGAAATTATTGTTGAAGAAGCTGTGGTTAGTTGTCTTTATGCACTTTGTAGACGGCACACATGGCAGCTATGCTGTTGCTGCAATGGGGAGTAAATGCTTGTTTAAGGTGATGGATGAAGTGTTGATCAAATGTTCTGCTTTGCCAAGTTTTCTGAGCGTTATTTGAGCTGCATTCATCCAGACAAGTGAACACTATACCGTCACGCTCCTGACTTGTGCCGTTGTAGATAATGGACAGGCTACGTGGAGAATGGAGAGTCAGGATGTGAGTTATTTGCTGTAGGATTCCTAGCCTTTGAACTTCTCTTGTAGTAAACATATTTATATGGCTAGACCAGTTCAGTTTCTGTCAATGTAACCCCCATGATTTTGGTTATTAAATTTAACATTAAATACTGCTGGTTTTCTCACTAGTTAGGTCGCAGTCTCCACAAGTTTATCTTTGATGTGAGTCATTCCATGCTGACCCCAACACACTAGAAAAAGCGTAGCATCTCTGCTGTCATCCTGACTATAATCTGGTAAGAATCACATCTGGTGAATTGAGTCTGGAACCTTTCTGGTCTCCATGCTTCAGCTACTTGCCAAATTAATTTTTGGCAGAGAATTCCACAGCTCACCACCTGTGGGTGAAGAAATTTCTCTTTGCCTCAGTCCTAAATGGCCTACCCTGTATTCTTAGACTCAGACCCCTGGTTCTGGATACCCAGCCATGAAGAACATCCCTCCATTTACCCTGTCTAGTCCTATTAGAATTTTATAGGTCTCATTCTTCTTAATTCAAAAGAATATTATAGAATCCCTACAGTGTGGAAGGAGGCTATTCCGCCCATCGAGTCAGCACTGACCCTCAGAGCATTCCACCCCGTACCTGTAACCCTGCATTTCCCATGACTAATTCACCTAGTCTGCTCATCCCTGGACACTATGGGCAATTTAGCATGGCCAATCCACCTAACGTGCACACCTTTGGACTGTGGGAGGAAACCCAAGCAGATGTCGGGAGAATATGCAAACTCCACACAGACAGTCATTCAAGGATGGAATCGAATCCGGGTCCCTGGCACTGTGAGGCAGCAGTGTTAATCACTGAGCCACCTTGCTGCTCTAGCTAATATATTCCTAACTGGTCCAGTTCATCATCTTGCATTAGTCCTGATATGCAGGAATCAGTCTGGTAAACCTTTGTTGCATTCCCTCCATAGCCAGAATATTCTTCCAGATAAGGAGACCAAAACTGTATACAGCTCTCCCAGTGTCGTCTCATCAAAGCCCTGTATAATTGCATCAAGACATCCCTGTACTTGACCTCTTGCCATGAAGGCCAATATGCCCTTTGCCTTTTTCACTGCATCTATACTTTCAGCAACTGGTGTCCAAGGGGGTCTCCCTATCTCAATGTATCACTATTCAGATAGTCTGCCTTGCTGTTTTTGCTACCAAAGTGGATAACCTCATGTTTATCCAGATATACTTTATCTGACATACATTTACCTACTCACATTCAACTTGTTCAAATCACACTGAAGTACATCTTCAACCTCCTTACCATTCACCCTCCCACTCAATTTTGGCATCTGCAAACTTGAAGAGATTATATTTAGTTTTGTCATTTATCATTCATATATATTGTGAATAGTTGGGACCCAGATACAGATCCCTGCGGTACTTCACTGGTCACTGCCTGCCACCTGGGAAAAGATCTGTTTATTCCTATTCTGTTACCTGTCTGCCAGCCAGTTCTTTATCCATGTCAATATGCTGCCACCAATCCCACACACTTTAATTGTATATGCTAATCTCTCATGTGGAACCTTATCAAAAGCCTTCTGAAAGTCTAAATATACTGCATCCATTGGCTTCCCTTTACTAATTCTCTCAAAACTCCAATAGACATGTCAAGAATGATTTGCCTATCCTAAATCCATGGTAAGTTTGTCTGATCACTGTTTTCCAAAAACTTCATTTTTAAGTCTTTTTAGTGGACTCTAACATTTTGTGAAGTACTGATGTTGGGCTAACTAGTTTATAATTTGCTGTTTTCTCTTTACCTCCCTTTTTTTTAAATAGTCGGGTTACATCAGCTACACAGGAACTGTTCCAGAGTCTAAAAATTTGTGAATGATCCACTATTTCCAGGACCACTTTCTTAAATACTCTGGGATATAGATTATCAGGCCCTAGGGATTTAGCAGTCTTTAATCCCACTAATTTGCCTACAACGATTTCTTTATCAGGACTCCTTCACTTCAGTTCCTCCCTTTCATTAGCTTCTGTGTTCCTCAACATTTTCAAGACATCATTTAATATATTTAATTGGAGTGCCGTCTCTTTACTCCCCATTATAACTTGCCCTTTTTCTGAGTATAAGGGGAAATTACAATGGCGATCAAAGAGATGGCAGGTCAAGCTTTCTCTTTTTGAAAAAGGTTTGACAATAATAATTTACATTTTTAAATTTTCTGTCTTCCCTGATATCCATTTTCAGAACCTTCTCTTGTTGACAAAATTAGCGTTTGGTGGAGATGGAACACAATATTTAGCGATGCAAGCCGTGGGTTGCTTGACCCAACTGTCTGTGTATCTGCAGAGGAGACTAAACTTTCACAGGGATCCCAGCTTCTTTTCTACAAAACAAGGTAAGGTGAACTACTATACTTATTTAGTGTGAGAGAGGGAGATGGAAAGGAGCTGCAGCGGCTGGGAGACCTTGTTTGGGGGATGGGGTGTGTGTGAAAAGGAGTGACAGCAAATGCAGACAGAATTGACACTGGACCGAATGACCTTCTCCTTGCCATAATGCCTGTGGCGCAATACCTAGCCTGTAGCCTTGCAGATGCTTGTGCTTCAGGAGTTGAGGGATTTCCACCTCAGCCACCAAACTGGGCAACAAGTCCCTGACTCCTAACATCCTCTGGGTGAAAAAGATTTTCAGGTCACCTTTCCTCTTTCAACCATTTACCTCTCCATTCTATCCAAGCCCCTCATTATTTTGCACACCTCCATTAAGTCAGGTCTTGACATTCTCTTTGTTTTAGGGAAAACAACCCTAACGCATCCAATCTTTCTTCGCACAAGAACAGAAAGTGCTGAAGAAACTCGGCAGATCTGGCAGCATCTGTGGAAAAAAAAAACGTTCATGTTTCAAATCAGTGACTTTCGTTGGAACCCTTACCAATTTTACCTCATGCGTGCAATTTTCAAGCCCTGGCAACATTCTTGTAAATCTGTTCGGTATTCTGTCTAGAGCAATTACATCCTTCCTGTGATATGTTGGCCTGTTCTGTACACAGCTCCAGCTGTAGCCTAACAAGTGACTAAAGTAGTTCCAGCATTCCATCCCTGTATCCAACATCTGGCCCAAAGAAGGAAAGTATCCCATTTGCCTTCTCTACCACTTATGTACCTGTCCTGCTACCATGAGGGACCTGTGGACAGGCCACTTGTCTGCCCACTCAGGTCGACAGTAATCCTCCTTCACTATCAACTATCATATAATTTTTCTGTTGTTTGCAAATTTTCCAATCGTGCCTCCCACAATTAAACCTAAATCGTTAATGTATACCACATAAAGCAAGGGACCCAATACTGAGCCCTGTCGAATGCAGTTGCAAGCTGTTTTCCATTGATAAAAACATTCAAAGGCCATTTCCATTTGTGTCCTGTCACTCAGTTCATTTCGGATCCAACTTGCCATTTACTGCTGTATCCCATTGCTTTTTTTTTCTGACTAACCTGCCATGTGGGACCTTGTCAAATGCCTTGCTAAAATCCACATAGGCAACATCCATTGCACGACTGTTATCTATCTGCTTTGTTATTTCCTCAAAAAATTCAGTTAACTTTGTAAGACTTGACCTTCCTTTAACAAAACCATTCTGACTATTCCTGATTAAATCTTGCCTCTCCAAGTACAGTTGATCTTATCTCGCAGTATTGATTGCAGTAGTTTTCCTATCGCTGAGGTCATACTGGCTGACCTGAAATTCCTTAGCCTATTCCTTGCATCGTTTTAGAATAATTGTACAATATTTGCAGATCTGCAATCCTCATACCTTGCCTAAATCTAGTGAGAATTGGAAAATAATTCTCAGACCATCTGCTATTTCTTCCCTAGCTTCCATTTAACAGCCTAGGATGCAATTTATCTGGCCCTGGTGTTTTACGCACTGGTTAATCCCTTCAGGACACCATCCTCTTATTTATTTTATCTAAATTTCACATTCCTGCTGTTTAACCATAATGTCCCCATTATCCCTCTGTTTTGTGAAGGCAGACACAAAGTTCTGATGCAGAATCCTGCCACAATTTTTGCATCGCACAAATTATCTTGTATGTTTCTGTTGGGGGTAATGCTTTCCTTAGTCATTCTCTTGTTCTTAATGCACTGTTAAAAACACATTTGGATTTTGCTCTGCACTAAAGTGAAGACCATTGCAAAATCTCTGTTAAGTTCTTCTGCCAACTCCTCACTTTCTATTATTAGTTTGCTAGAGTCACTTTTTATAGGTCCAATGTTCAATTTTGTATCTCTTCATTTTTGAATTGTACAGAAACTCTTACTGTCTGTATTATAATGATAGCTTGTTTCCTCTTCTACTCCGTTCTTTCCTGCCACAAAAATAAGTAACCAGGGAGCTGAGCATAATGGTGGGATGGAGGTAAATCAAGCAGCCCCCCACCCTTCCTCCTTCACTTGGAGCCAAAAAGATTTACAGCTGCAAGAGTGGTGATGTTAAGTGCAAATATTGTGGGATAATATGGGCCTAATTTGTAGAATTGGTCAAGTCAATTAACAGTCCTGGAAAATGGGTAACCACTAGATCTTACTGTCTTCTCTCCATCCAGGTGCCAGTGTCTAGAGGTGTGGCAAAAGAGGCCCCATAAGTAAAATCTGAGGCCCACAGCCTTGTTGATTTTGTTTTCAAATGGGGCTTGCAGGTTAGTTGCTCGCACTTGAAACTGTGCTTAACCTGGAAGACCAGTTGATGTTGGAACATACTGGAGCTAATGTTTTTAGTCTTTCTTACATTCATTTGTAGAGCTAAATATTACAAGCAGCTACCTCCTTCCTCAGTCACATCAGGATTCTAATACATGTTTGTTTATTCTTCTCTTTGCCAACTAAGAGCGAGAAATTAAAGGGCCACTATTAATTTAACTGTAATGGAAAGCAAAATCCTAGGAGAGTAGCTAATTGAAAAGTGATTACTGTTTTCAATGATGCAGTCCAGTTCTCTCCTCTTACTTCCAAATGCATTCCAGTCATAAAGCTTCAGGCACCCAGTGAGCACATCATATCCCCTCTCCGAGAATATCCCTGTTCAAAAATAGCCATGGAAGGGAGGCAGACAGTTGGAACCAATGATCTAAGTATATCCTTTATAGGTATTTCCAATCTAGCCAATTCAGAGATGATATTATACATTCTAGCGCGGGTGTGACTTGAACACGAACTCTGTGCTACAAGAGCCAAGTTAGAGACCAGACCAAAACCTCTCAAAATATATCAAGGAGATAGCCTAGACTCTAACTTCTTTATTATTTAAATGCAAGTGTAGGGTGCCATGTTCCAGATGTGATTTGATTGTCAAACAACCAGGCTTTAAGCAAAACACACTTTATTCTTACACCATAGTTAAAATACAAACAAAAAAAAACGAATGATCATAACTTTAACTCTGTTGAAACACTTAACAGAGGAATATATTATTTAACTACTATTCATCAACTGTTCCAATTTAGCAGCATCCCATAAACACACCCTTGGCAAATGCAAATTCAGTAAAACAGATTTTTCTCGCGTGCTATGTCTCTTCTCCAGTCCAGGAGAAAAGAACACCAAAAAGAAACAATGTAGCTGCAGAGACAGCACTCAAGTTTTTCCTGCAGCAGAGTGAGAGACAGCTGTATCTGTCAGCTTACAACCCCAACTTGAACTGAAAACAAAACTGAAACCATGGGTCTGTGTGAGCCTGACACCACCCACTTATGCTTCTTTTGTCTAATTTTGAAAAAAAGGTCTCAGGAAAAAGTTCAAAACAAACCAAATCACGAAAAGCACCACAGTTTTTACAAAAATATACAAGAAGGCCAGTCTCTTTGACCCCTAACAATTTATTTTGTGCAAAGCATTTCTTTAGTAAAATGGACAGCTGGTGACTTGCATCCACCCATTTCATTTTAAAGATTTCCTTTCTTGTTTATTCAAGGCAGCAAGGCCAAGCTAAATCCTTAATTATTGCTTTTCACCCATGAATAATAGTCTGAAACCAGGAAGCGTTGTTGAGAACGATTAGCTTCATATAAAAGCAACGTATTCCAGATTCTGAAAATCTGAAATAAAAACAAAGGTCTGGCAACATCTGTGGAGAAAGAAACAAAATTAACATTAGTATGACTTAAAATTTTTTGAGAAGATTTGTAGCTTGGATTGTGAATGAGGTTGCAGACTTGTTCACGGAGCCGGCGTGTTTGATTGCAGATGTTTCATCACCCTGCTAGTTAACATTGTTAGTGCGCCTCCAGTGTTCTGTTCTGCTTGTTATTTACAAGCCTCGGTATGCTGGGGTGGTCGGTATTACTTCTAGTTCTGTTTTTCAGTGGTTTGTATATCGGGTCCAGTTCAATGTGGACACACAAACAAAATTCACAAACGAAGAAGAGGGCAACAACTGACTACCTTTGCCGGACATAATGGTGGAACGTAAGAACAATGGGGAACTCCAGACTAGAGTATACAGGAAGGCCACACATATGGACCAGATACTTAATTACACCAACAACCACCCCAACACCCATAAACGGAGCTGCATTAGGACATTATTCAAATGAGCCACAACATACTACAGCAACCCGGAATTACGCAAAGCAGAACAGGAGCACTTATATGGTGTTTTTAAAAGGAATGGATACCCAAAAAGCACAATCTGCCATTATCTCCGCGATAGACCACAACAAGAAGACACAACACTGCCAGACACACGAGTCACCCTACCGTACATCAGGGACATATCAGAGATGACCACAAGACTACTCAGACCCCAGGTATCAGAGTAGCCCACAAACCAACAAGCACCCTGCGACAGCTACTGAAGAATGTAAAGGACCCCATACCCACAACCAATGAAACTAATGTAAATACAAAATACCGTGCAAGGACTGTGAGAAATATTACAGAGGCCAAACTGGAAGAAAACTGGCAATAAGGATACACGAACACCAACTAGCCACCAAGAGAGACAACCAATTCTCACTGCTTTCAATACACACCGACAAAGAAGGACATGAATTCGACTGGGACAACGAGTTGCAAGAAATACAGATTTGAGTGTTCAGAGCAAAACACCAGGGCAGTGACAGTGGTGGCAGAGGAATGATAGATGTGTAAAAAAATGTGTAAATGTAACCTGTGAAAAGGAGAAAATGGGTGACCTGAGAGCAACGTCAATAAGACACAAACAAAACACAGCTGAGGGAGGGTGATCGAGGTAAGAAAATGGACTACAGAGGTTATACTCTGAAGTTGTGTAAATTAATATCGAGTACTAGAGGCTCTAGACTACCTAAGTAGAAGATGAGTTTTTCTTCCAACTTGTGTTGAACTTCATAGGAATATATTAGCAAGCTAAGGATGAATGTTAGCATGGGAGCAACATAGTTTCTTGAAATAGTGAGCAACTGAGTGGTTAGGATCATTCCTATGGACGTCTGCGTTTGATCTCGTCAATGTAGAGGAGACTGAATTGTGGGCAGCAAATACAGACAACTAAATTGAAAGAAGTACAAGAAAAATGCTTCACTTGGAAGATGTGTTTGAGGTCTTGGATGGTCATGAAGGCAGAGATGAATGGGCAGGTATTACAATTGCAGGAGATGTATGGGAAGGAGGAAGTGTGGAGTGATGAAAGAGTGGATAAGGGTGTCATGGAGGGAATTTATCTTTTAGAATACTGACAGTGGAGGGGAGAGGAAGATGTTATTGTTGGTGGCATCATACTGGAGGTGACAGAAATGGCAGAAGATTATGTTTTGAAAGTGGAAACTGGTGGGGTAGAAATGAAGGCAGTGGGAACCCTATAGCTATAGGAGGGAGGGGGAAGGGGAGATGGTTGTAGTGCAGAGATGGGTCAGACAAGATTGAAAGCTCTGTCAATTACAGAGAAGTTGAGTGGTGGGGTTAGGTTCCTCGATTGAGGAAAAAGGTCATGTTGGAGGTTGAAGTTGGTATCATTGGAACAGATGTGATGAGGTGGATAAACTGGGAGAATAGAATGGAACCCTGACAGGAACAAGGTTATGAGGAGATGTAGGTATACAAAGGTTCCGCATATATCGACAAACCCTGAAAATGATCTGTTGGAAACTCCTATCAAGTGGACCTTTTACAACTACAGTATCTACTTTTAAATATCCAAGGATGTAATTTCCGTGTAAAATACTATCTAAACTCTCAGGTGATTATTTCTGATACATTTAGCAGACTTCCAAATCTTGTTAAGAGCAAAGATGTCCCTGTTGGCTTTCAAGTAGGTAATGAATCCAATTTCAAAAGTAGTCTTCACATCGATCACATTCATTTGAGTTAAAGTCGAGCATAGCAGATTTAGCCAGATGCATCTGATATCCAGCTGCTACAGCGAAAGGAGATCATCGGCAGATGGTCCAACACATTTAGCAGGCCTCTGATCTGACACGATCTTTCTGGTTATTTAGAGACAAGTGATTATACCATTTTGTGACTTCTAACAGTTTGTGACTCGTTAATTGCCATATTCATTAGGTTTGGTTGGTGTTCCTCAGCAAAATGTGTCTGACAGCGTTCCACAGTTTACGTTTCCAAGTTCTTGGAAAGATACAATCATGCTGTGTAAACTCCAGTTTATAAAACATTGTTACAGATATTAGCCCAATTCTATGACGAAACAGATGATCCATCAGATTTGTACATGATCAAACATCTGTCACATGTCATTATCCTTTATTATTGCTCCTTTTGTAGAGCTTTTCTTTGCAGTTTATTATTAAGGCGGCATGGTGGCTCAGTGGTTAGCGTGAGGAACGCGGGTTCGATTCCACCCTTGGGTGACTGTCTGCGTGGGTTTCCTCCGGGTGCTCCGGTTTCCTCCCACAGTCCAGAGATGTACAGACTAGGTGGATTGGCCATGCTAAATTGCCCATAGTGTTCAGGAATGTGTAGGTTAGGTGAGTAATAGGGGGATGGGTCTGGATGGGATGCTGTGAGGGTCGGTGTGGACTTGTTGGGCCAAAGGGCCTGCTTCCGCACTGTAGGGAATCTAATCAAGCCAAAATCATAACCTCCCACTTTTTCTTTGTCTTTTCTTACCTTCAGTAATTTTTAAGTTGATTTGATCATAAATACTCAAATTTCGGTTTTGTTGCCTTTTTAGTGAGAGATTTCTGAAACTTTGCAAATGCTTCAGTAGAGTTAGATGAATAATAAGATACTTCATTCACTAGCTTCTTGTTCTATTTTATTAGGAAAGACTTGGATGAACTGCTGTTTATCCATCAATCTTTCTTTTATGTTCTGTTTTTGTCCAGATGTCTCATTTTCATGTTTATAAAAACTGCCCTGTTCCAAGCAGCATTCTTTGTTTTTGTTCTAACCTTATTTTTCACTTTGAAACTAAATCTAATTATATTCATTTCCAGAGGCATTCATCCACGTTCAATTCATCTGCATGTTCTATTCCATTGCTGTTGGCTCGGTTTAACAATACTTGTCTCTATTTTACATATAGACATATTTTGCGAGAAAACAATTCCCCAAATAGTATAGGAAGTCTCTTCTCTTTTTTTTCCCATATATTCCCCCTTCACCAATCAATTGCTGTGTGACTTAAATTTCTTAGGAATAGGAAGATTATCATTTTACTTTTTTATTCTGACTGGATGACTCTGGTATTGGACCATGAAAGATCTGGACTCTACTTCAGCCTGCGCTGACTGGAGTTCTCATTGCGAATTAATTGGCTTTCAGCCAATTTCAGATAATTGAGCCTACTTCAGGCAAGCAAGATGGTGATGATGTTTAGCATAGAATGAGACCATCCAGTAGATCCAGCAAAGTGCAAATACAATATGTCTTAGAAGGAACAATTATGAGTCATAATTAAAGCTCTGGCACTGAATTTAAATTGGTCGCATCAGAGGGTACATTTGTAGAGTTAAGTAAGAGTAGAATTAAGAGAGGATTTATCTTTTACAAATACATGGTTGGTCCTTAATTAATCCATGATATATGTGTGTCTTTTAGATATTATTGTACAAGTGCAAGCATGTAATCCCTATGCTAGGTTAACATTCAGAAATTTGCTTTTGCTTTTTTATCCCCTAGATTTAGTTTCTCAGCACTCTTCTGTGGCTTATTCTCAGGAAACAAGGGGGACACACATTTCCCAAAATCCCTCTCTAAGAAGTACCAGTCCCAGACCATCCGTAGTTGGGCGAACTGTTCAACGTCCCAGAGGAGATGGCCAAGATGGTGATGCAGTATCATCAAGGTAAATGAAATATTGCTCGGGCATTGTACTACCTAGGAGCAGTTCTGACGCATGGAAATTTCTTCCATTTCAGTTGTCAACAAACGTAACTTGGTTCTGTTCATCTGTAATGTCTATTTGTGTGCTTGCCCTTATGTTTATTTGGAATGCACAGTACTTAAATTTACTCAAATAAAATTAATTCAGAATGTCCTGATTGAATATGCCAGACCTTCATTAAAAAATAAAATTTCTGAGGAGCCTTTAACTGGACCCATATTAAAACAAAATAATGGAAATGTAGAAACTGTAAACAGAGAATCTAGGTTATCATTTCAAAGCCTTCCATGAATTCTACAGAGGATCTGCATCTGAAGCTTTTCTGTATTGGGTGTGGAATGACATGCTGAATAGTTCTATTGAATTATTATTTTCCATTTCTACATTTCCAATACTTTTTCATTTTTGGTGGAAAAGTGTTCAAGATTAAATATGAATATGTAATATTTAACAGAGGCAATTTTATTTTTTCATTGTAATTTCCTGCGTTGATGGAAAGAGAGTAATGTCCATATTCCTTGGTGCAAAGAAAATTAATTACAGAAAGTTTTGCAATCTTGAGCTAACCTCGATTTATGATCTTGTGGAAATGGAAAAAAACTTATTTTTAATGTTTTGGGGGCGAGCATGGCAAAGTAAGCAGTTTGTTCAAGTCATCAGTTTGCTCTCCAGTCGAGACCCAAGTGACAGCTTGCTAAATTGGCAAATGGTTGAAGATTCAAACTTTGTACCACAACATGTACCCTGAAACAAGACACAGCACTACAGGAAGAGTAATCTATAAATTGTGAGATGAATTTAAAAAGAAAAATCGGGTATTAACAAAAAGATTGAGTATAAGTCCGTGGAGGCTTAAAGCTGCTATATCATCCCATCAGCCAATATCACCTGATCGTGAGGTGGGTTGAAAAGAAACAATGAGCAAAGTTTCTGATTCAGGATATCAGGAATTAAAGTTACATGAAGAGGTTAACCAAGTGGATTTTCTTTTTGAAATAGAGCAGACTTAATGACCCAATTTAACTTTTCAAGATCATAAAGATCAATTTGCCAAATTTTGTACTTTGTTTTAATGTGAGGCTATGCTGAGTTAAGAGGGAGAAGGGAAATCGGTTAGAACATTTTGTTCCCCAACGTTTTGTGGTAATGTTACTCCAATTACTCTTTATCTATGGCTAAGGGAGGAACTCAGCCAGACAAGTTGAAATCTGAACCAAATTCTGTCATTATATCTTGTTCTTTATTTTATCCAGAACTCCACTGACAGCTGCCATTTGATAGTTTTCAGAGCAACCCTCATTGGAAATTACATTATGCAATGCTCTTTCAACTCTCGGAAGTAGCGTAGACTGATTGGATGGAAGTTTTCCAAAGATGGATGCAAGACCACTGTAGAAAGCTCACTTTGATTGGCAGTCTCTACCTTATAAATCATGGTATAGCTGGTGTGAAATTTGTGCAAATATTACACATTAAACAACTAACTACTCTCTGCAGCTAAGGTTGTCAGATATTTGGGGTGCGGGAGAGTGAACCTGGCAAAGCATAGAAGGAAAACATGGCATTTTCATGCAGTATTTACCAGCTGAGAGTGTGTCATAAAACTTCGCAGCCATGGACGAACTTGGAAAGCGTAGCCATTGTTATGATTGAATAAATGTGGCAGCTAACTTGCACTCGCGTCCCACAAACAGCGATCTGTTAATCGCCAGGTTTTTAAGTTAGTTAATTGAGAGGTAATCATTGACCAGGACATTGAGGAGAACCAGCCTGTTTTTCTTTGAAATAGTATTGTATAATCTTTTGGCCTATTTCAGAGGACAGATGGGTCTCAATTTGGCATCTGATGGAAGAATAGGGTTAGCAGCATTTCTGAATGGGTGGTTCAGTAGTTGACAGGTTCCATTTGTCTTGCTCTTTATGGACAAGGTACCTGGACAATTTTCCTGAAAGTTGGGCAGATGTCAGTGGTGTAATTTTTCTGGAACAGCTCGGTCCAGGACATGTGTGTATTTATAATGGATAGCATTTGTTTATCATGATTACAGTTAGGTAATTTAGTTAATAATTCCATAGGATCAACTAAATTGCCATTTGATAAGTTGCAAAGTATCCGTTTTAAAGAAAAATTTAATGTGGGTACTATAATATGTTAATACTAATTCTGTATTATGGCCCTTTGCACAAAATTGTTGTAGAACTATCTCAGAAGAGATTGCTTGTTAATTTTGGTGTTATCTTCATTTAACTGATGTTAGCCTTCCAATCCAAATAAGGGGATTAAAATCATTTTGGTGCCTTTAAGGATAGGTTAATATCTTTCTTCATTTGGGAAGAGGTTAAAGGCAACTGCTTTGTTTGAAAAAAACTGCATACCTGTTTATTTAATTTCTTGAGATCATGGAATGTAAGAGATTGACTAATAGTAGAGAAGTGGTATTTATGAAGAAGAATTGACTCCTGTATTTTTTTTCTACTTTGTATCAAAGTTACAGCCAGAGGCAGTTTTTTAAAGAGTAAATGAGGGACGGAATTAGATTTGCCATCATAGCATTTGATTTCTGTTATACTTGTAGTCTCGCTTGTCAATCATGATGTCATGATTGTAGACATTTAAGTTCAGAGCCAATATCTGTTTTTAAAAAATTGAATACAAGTCATATTTCAGATATATGCTGTCTCCGGATGCCAAAGAAAGCTTTGATTTTTCTCCTAACTGTTGGATTGAACCAATTGATTTTCTCATTGTTCTGTGTGTACCAGTAAAACTACTTTCTGACTAATGTAATCAATTGTATCAGAGTGGCAATAAAACTAAGGGAAGAGCATTGAAATTGCTAACTTAATTCTTATTTTTAATCTCGGGTTGGCCTTCATTTTGCATGGCTTTGAATAATTCTATGAATCGTTTAAAGGAAATATTTGAGGTCAAATTGAAAATTCCTGTTTTAGACGAAGTGCCATAACTTTTTTTCTTAATAACCTCAAACTGACAGAGTTGAAGATAATGATTGAGTTTGTTTTGTAGATTTTATATTATACGCAAAGTTATAAACTGCCTGAATCCCATTTGAGATGATTATTCCTAATTACATTATTGGTTACCCAAATCAGCGAATTGCAAAAGCAAAAAAAAGAAATCTTTCTTTCACTCTCTTTCTGCACTTGATTTGCCGTTGAGTTTGCCACTTTTTTAATTTGCCCTTGTTCTCAGCCCTTCTAATTATTTCCTAATTCTTTAATGTTGTTTCAAGAGAAATACTTTTGTTTTGCTTTGTTCACTGAAGTTGCAGACGCCCCATGTACCTCAATTCATTGTTACCAGCTTGGACTCTCAATTACTTTGTGGATACACTTATAGTACTTGAACTGAAGGGCACAAGAGCAAGTCCAACTAACATAAAATGCAGCTAAATGTTTCTTCTATAAAGCTAAAACTAGGTCTAATCCCTTCTTAAAATACTTCAGTTTGGTGATGTTATGCCAGTTGTACTGTAACTTTTGTTTTCTGAGGATGTAGGTTTTTGACTCCTCTTACACAAACTTTAATACATCTTTTGGGCTAGTAATTGTCTTTGCTGCCCACAGAAGATTTTCTCTTTTCCCTTTGATGATGTTTGCACCTGTGATCTCATTGATTTTCAGATCGTTGAGTCAATTTCACCTGGTGTGGTAATGAAATCTAGCAGACTGAGATTTTTTAGCAACATAGGAATGGGAGTAGGTCATTTGGCTATCTGAGTCTGTTCCATCATTCCATAAAATAATGGCTTTTCTGGTTATGGTATCAGCTCCACTTTTCTGTCTCCTGCCCCATACCCCTGCAATAACCTATGACTCCTTTGTCTATCAAAAATCAATGTAACTCAATGTTGAGTGAATTTAAGACCTGGCTTCCACTACCTCCTGGTGAAGAGAACAATTCTCTGAAAGAAGGAAAAAAATTTGTCTTAAAAATGAGATCTCTTGTTCTTAAATCTGTCCCATGTAGTCTCCCCCACAAGAGGAACCATAGCTCGATGTTGTCTCACCAATGCTCTGCACAGCTGCAGTAAAACTTCCCCACTCTTCTATAGTCCATTCCTCTTGCCATAAACCCCAATACTCCATTGCCTTCCTAATCATTAGCTGCGTACTAACTTCAGGGGATTCATGTATGAGGATTCTCAATCCCCCTCCAACCCTGACTCCTGCAATCTTTTTCCATTTAGAGAATATATTGCTTTTCTATTCTTGATACAAAAATAACAATTCACATTTACCCACCTTCTACTATATCTGTCAAACTTTTGCCTATTTACTCAACCAATCTCTTTCCAGGTCCTCATTCCTGTTAACAATTTACTTTCCTATCAATCTTGTCATCCGATAATTTAGCTACCATACATTGGGTCCCATATTCAAGTCATTGATATAAATTGGAAATATTTAAAGACTCAGTACTGATCTCTGTGCCACTCATAGCCGTACAGCATGGAAACAGACACTTTGGTCCAACCAGTCCTTGCCGACCATGTTCCCAAATTAAGTTATTCCCACCTGTCTGCGTATTGCCCACATTCATTCCAAACCTTTCCTACTCATGTACTTATCCAAATGTCTTTTAATTGTACCCACATCCACCACTTCCTCAGGAAGTTCATTCCACACGTCAACCACCCTCTGTGTAAAAAAAAAAAAAAAAAAAATTGCCCCTCATGCCTTTTTTAAATCTCTCTCTCACCTTAAAAATATGCCTCCTACTCTTGAAATCCCCCATCTTAGGGAAAAGACAACTCCCATTGACTCTATCTGTACCCCTCATTATTTTAAAAACTTCTATAAGGTCACTTCTCAACCTGCTATGTTCCAGTGGAAAAAAATCCAACATATCCAGCCTTTCGTTATAACTGAAACAACTCCACTTGTTACAGCTTGCCAGCCTGAAAATGCCCTGCTTATCTCTACTTCCTGTTAGTCTGGATAATGGATTGGTTAGCAAATATATTTGGAGTGAATGTTACCAATGCCAAGATAGCTACTAACATTAACACGTGCAGATAACAATAGTGACATCACATCACAGCAACAGCCTAACCATTTCCCTCACAACAGACCTTCTGACCAACCTGCTGGTCGCCCTCCTGCACCATCCAGCTGTTCTGCTATCAGCTGTCCCACCCTCTTGCTGCTGGTTGCCATATCCCTGTTGCCTTGCTGCTGGTTGCTGCCTTGCTGCCACTCCCTGTTCCTGAGCCTACTCCACCTGCATTCCTTGCTGCATGGTTTGCTACTTTTGTTCAAGATGTGTGACACTGAGTGTGCTTTCTGAACATGACTGTGGGTCAAGAGTTTATGATGCATTTCAGGAGCACATCTTGCATCGCTGCTTTTGTGTACAGTGGATTTCAAAGCTGTGTTTTTTGTGGTCACTGCCACCTAGTGGTATTGTTAGCAATAAATGCAACCTATGCTGTTACATCCTACAACATGTACTTTTAACTGTGCAGCAAATTTTGAAATAGCACTTTATCAAATTTCTTTTGGAAATTTGAGTCACATCTGTGAACACCCATGTTGCATTTTGCTTTGTCAAAAAAGTTATGCCATTGGTGATTTACAGTCTTATCATCCTTACCTTTGTGAATTGAAGGATTGGTGAATGAAAGTTATTGGATGCTTCAAATATGTTTTTTGTTTTTAAATATTCTTTATATTTTAGTGCAAGCAGTTCTCAGAGGTTTGCTAACTCTGGAAGTCCGCTGTCTAACCATTCAATTGTTGACTTGGAACTTCCTGAGATGGAAAGTGATGATTCCTTGGAGCTTCAGTTCCAGCAGCTTACCCTTCCACAGTTTTGTGTGGCTGTACTGGAGCATGCAGTGCCAATGCTCAGAACAGGTAATCAGTCTTATGGAAATTTGTTCATGACTAAATCAGCATTTATTTCCCTAGAGAAGGTGGTGGTGAGCTGCTTCATTGAGCCACTGCAGCACCTGGTACACAGAGACATCCTACTGTGATTTGGAGGAAGCTTCAGGGTTTGACATTGTGACGGTGAAGGAGCAGCAAATAGTTTCAAGCCAGGTTAGTGAGTGACTTGAAGGGGAACTTGCAAAGTGGTTATGTTCCCACGTATCTCCTGCCCTTGTCTTTCTAGACATTGAGGTCTATCCCTTTGTCACATGGCCCCAGTCAAAAGAGGTGCAAGTACAGAGAACAAGTATCTCAGTACATTGTTTAAAAGAGAACTATATTTTCAGGATTTTGTATTGTATTACTGAGCAAGTAAGTCAGAAAGTGCCATGGATGGTGATCTTTGAAGATGAAATTAAGCTATGTTTGGGGATGATGAAGCATGACTGAGTATCTGGCAAAAAGCCCCGGGAGACAGTGATGTGAAGAGCAGTAGACCAAAAACAGTTCATTGACTGCCAGTTGAGTCTAGATAAGAGGATCAGAGTGAAAATTGAAAGTTTACAGGTGAGATTGGAGAAAGTTTAATATTTTCAAGTACGTGGGATCAGTGGCAGAAATATGAAATGAACATTAAGCAACAGTTAAGATCTGGTTCAAGTAATTGGACAAAGTGAAGTAGTGTTTTTAAAAACAGTCAGAAAATGAAAGAGACAATCTGCAAGACAGTTCTGAGACTTGCCTTTATGTATAGTTCTGAAACTCCAGGAATATCAAGAATTGAAGAATAGTGAATGGATGCCACTGAGGTGTGAATGATAGATATGTGGGAAAATCAGGAAGGACAAAATCAGGAAACAGCAAATCATGAGATCATTAAAGATTTTGGGAACATCGAAGAGAGTAATGAGTTGTGGTATAGAGAGAGAGTGATGATTGGCCTGGCAGAAAGAAGAAAGAACTATAGAGCTAGAACTAGAACTAGCTTTATTGTCACGCATACTCAAATGAATACAGTGAAAAGTATACAGTTGGAGCTTATAGTGCCATCTTGAGTACAAAGGTCCCAACGTACAGCTTTTTAAGTTACAGTTCTTCGAAAAATAGAGAAGTAAAACATCCAGCAATGCAGCTTTTTGGAATAAGTTATAAAATGGAGATAAAAGAAATGTTCAGGTACAATGGTCTTCCAATCCAATCCGTGCTGGCTTTTTCTCCAGTGGTACCGGGCCTTGACTCCAGACTGTGCTGAAAGGAGAATGGTCTAATACCATATGAAAAGGTCCAAGGTGAGAGACATGCATTCTCCCCGTGTCTACGTGGGTTCCCTCCGGGTGCTCCGGTTTCCTCCCACAGTCCATAGATGTGCAGGGTAGGTGGATTGGCCGTGCTAAATTGCCCCTAGAGTCCAGGGATGTTTAGGTTAGGTGGGTTAGACATGGGAAATGCAGGGGTAGAGGAATGGGTCAGGGTGGAATGTTCTTTGGAGGGGCAATGTGGACTTGTTGGGCTGAATGGCCTGTTTCCACACTGTAGGGATTCTGTAATTGTTTTATTGATTTTGATGTAGAATGGGTAACTGATGGGAGGACATGGGGAGGCGTGATCAACCAGCCTGTGGTGAACCCTCCCCACCCCCAAATTCCAAACCACCAGCAAGTAAAATAGAAGATATAAGAAGGAGAGGTAGAATTGTGTGGTAGAATAGTGTTGTTTGATTCTGGAGTTAAATTTAGCTGAGAATTGATGGAAGTCATTTCCCTGTAGCCAGTTAAAAGCTAATGTGGACCATTGAAATCTGAAAATGCTCACTGCAGTGTGGGAATTATTCTTTGAGATTAGGGTTCCTAATGAAACAAAACAAAATGCTTCATGCAGTGACAACCTTCATATTTAATGGGGAGTTAGGACTGCTCAAAAGGATGATGAGATTCGTAGTTAGTTTTGTTTTGGTGATCCATTGTGATCATGACTTGCTGTAACTTACCCATTTGTTTTATTTCATAATAAATATTGTGATGTTTCACCTAGGTAATCGGTGTATATTTGTGACCTGCAGTGGTAAGTGCATCAGTCCCTTCAGGATCACTGACTGTGGGGTACAGCCTAAACAGGGCAAACCAATCTCAATTTACGACCAATTTGCTGCCGTAATTTTATCTGGATTAACATCCACTTTGTTTCTTTTAGTAAAAAACTAAGTTGAGGAAGGTGACTGAGCAGCTAAAGTTGTTCTTGAACTTGTTTGTATCTGTGTTTAAGCTTTTGTATTTTCTGCTTAAAGGAAGAGGTTGGAAGAGATTACAACTGGGTTGGGAGGGGTCTTTGATGGTGGCTGTTTTTCCGTGGCAACGAGAATTGTAAATGGAGTCAGTGGATGGGAGGTTGGCTTGCCTGGTGGTTTGGACTGTGTTCACAACTTTCTGTTGTTTCTTATGGTCTTGGGCAGAGCAGTTGCTGCACCCAGATAGAATGCTTTCTGTGGTACATCTGTAAAAGTTGGTGAGCTTCCTTATGGACATGCCAAATTTCCTTAGCTTATTGAGGAAGAAGAGGCATTGTTGTGCCTTCTTGACCGTTGCATCTACATGGTTGGTCCAGGACAGATTGGTTATTGTCCTTCTCAGGAACTTGACACTTTCTAGGCTGTCCACCTCAGCTCCATTGATGTAGATGTGGGATTGTCCTCCTCCTTTCTTTCTGTAGTCGACAATCAGTTCTTTAGTTTTGTTGATGTTGACTGAGAGATTTTTATCTTTGCACTTGCGAAAACATGGAAAAAATATAGGGGAGCAGTTCTTGTTCAAAGTGGTCCATTATTATACGTGGAAAGAGAATATATTTTCAATGTTATGTAAACAAGAAGATTTTCAGCCTGCCTGGGGAGCTCCTTTGTCAGGTTTTTTCATTGCTAGTCTTCTCAATGACAGCACAGTTGTGCCAACACTCGTTTGGAAACGATTTAAAATTGACAATTGGTGGTACCGCTCAGTAATGACATGAGTCTTCTTAGCTCAGTCCAACTCCAGGTAAGCTGCACATTAGATTATTGCATCCCAAGTTATTACTTTGTTGAGACTTGTTTCCTGTAGAGTATAGCAAGATTGATGGGTCTACTTTCCATCAATAATATAATCTACCGTTACTTAGCAATATGATGCAGTGATATTACTGTTTCTACAGAAAACACAGATGATGGTAATTTACTATAGGAGGTGATGACGCATTTTAAATTTTGACCAATATCTAGTTCCCTTGTACTACTTTTCTCTTTCCATGTTTTTATTGCATCAAAGTATTCTAAAGACGGATTTCGGGGTAAAAAAAAACCCCTTAAACTGTTCAAATCTTCATTGGTTCCTCGAATAGTTATTTTCCAGTGCAATTGGCTGTTTGCCATCCATCATTTTTAATATAGTCAGTTGACAAATTATAGATCTTTGCTGTTGAGTACCATATTTTCAAGCATTAAGTTGGCAGTAATCCTTTTTATAGGTAGTCAGAAGATGGTGATGTATGTTTTGGAACTGTTGTTTGAAGTGCTGTTGCTCGTCGGTGATTCAATCTCTGAAGATGTCTGGAATGATGACAGTCTTCTGGGACGTGAACTAGTAAGTCTATTCATTATGTATTATGACTTGTGTCTCGACATGCTGACCCTGGTACACTTGTATGCATGTTATCTGTTTCTTGTATTTTTAAGCTTGTTTGCATCCAATCTTGACCTGCATAAATCAAATTTATTGGCTAAGTCTTTAAACAGGGCCCAATATTCCATTAACGTGAAATTGCATAACTGGGAACCCTCAGTTCTTAGTCTGTTTGTCTGAGATCGGGTAAGTCTTAGTTTCTTTTCCATAGATGGTTTGAGTGAGAGATCTAAGTTACTCAAAGAAAACAAAGAACTGCAGATGTTGGAGATCTGAAACAAATAAAAACAGAAATTGCTGGAGGAACACAGCAAGTCTGGCAGCACCATGAAGAGAAACCGGTTTAACATTTTGAGTCAAGTGATCCTTCTTCAGAACTAGAAGGGTCACTTGACTTGAATCATTACCTATGTTTCTCTCATTGGATGACCTGCTATGTTTTTCCAGTAATTTCTGTTTTCATTTGTCAATGAAGACTTATCAGTTTTCCTTGCATGACGTGAAGTGAATTGTTTCATTTATTTGTGTTACAAGGGTGTTGACTTTGTCATGGCAGTGCTTTTTGCTTTCTAAAGTTTCCCAGTGGCAACAGTTGAAAACCCCCACTGGAACTTGTTAGCAATAATATCCATCACTTATTTCTCTTGAGAATTGTTGATGCCAGTCAAAACTAAAATTGCATCTAGCAATTAGATAACTGAAAAACTTGCATTGATTTAGCATCTTTCATAAACTGAGGATGTCCAAAAATGCTTTATGGCTGATAAAGGTATTTTTGAAATAGTTGTTGTTGTAATTTAACAAGCAAAGTGGTCTTTCTGCATATCTGGAGCTCCCTGATTTGAGGATATGATTCTGGGAGTGTATAAGATAATGATGGATGGCATCAAAGTTTGGAGAATGGTAAAGGGAGAATATGAGAATTATATTACAGCACGTTTTGATTTTATAAACATCATTGTCTACATCAGCAGCATGGTTGTGCTCACAACTCACTGGGATAGTGAACTGGAAATGAAGCCCTGCTACTTCTGGAGGCATTACAAAAATTAAAAATGTTATCAAAATACACACAGAGCCCAATTTACCTGTTGGGTAGACCCAGGTTAATAGAGATCATGGACCAGGTTTCTATATGAAACCTGTAGGTTTCTATAAGAACTATTATTTAATACAAATAGATTCTAACTAAAGGTAAACAACTATGAACTATTGGTGTATGACTCTACTGTTGGTGTAAAACTCTAACCCACATTTAAAACCCCCTTACACACACAGAGAGACAAAAAGAATTACTGTTATACATAGAGGGAAAAAGTTAATGGGGAAACAGTTCAGTAGCTCTAGTCCTCAAGATTCAAGATTTCCTTTTGTTTCCCAAGTCCTTCAGTTCTCCGAAACCATGAGAAATAGGAACAGAAATAGGCCGTTCGGCCTTTAAGCCTACTTCTCCATTCAGTAGGATCCAAGCTGATCCGACGTTCCTTACTTCACTTTCCTCTGTTTTCTCTGTAACCTCAGTATTCAAGAATCTGTCTCGGCCTTAAATATATACAAGGATTCTGCCCCTGCAGCACTCTGTGGCAAGGAGTTCCAAAGATACTCAACCTTCTGAGAGAAGAAATTCCTCCTCATTGCAGTCTTAAATTGGTACCCTTTTATTGTAAGACTATGCCCTCTGATCTTAGACTCTCCCATGAGAAGAGTGTTCTCTGAGCATTTACCTTTAGCTTAGCATTCTCGTGACCCTTAAGAATCCTATGCATTTCAATGAGATCACCTGTCATTCTTCTAAACTCCAGGGAGTACAGTCCCAATATGTTTAGCCATTGCTCATAAGACAATCTGTCCATGCCATGGATCATCCGAGTAAACCTTCAATGAACTGTCTCCAATGAAATGATATCTTTCCTTAAATAAGGATACCAAAACAGCTCTCAGTATTCCAGATGTGGTCTCACCAGCTTTTCCTTCAGATCTTTTCCTTCAGATGGTCTCAAATCTTGACTGGAGGCTTAGGGCGATTGGTTCATGAATCATAAGGTCTCTAACATATCGGTTAAAAGCAACAGCTTTCAGCAACCTGTGGAACAAAATAAACTGGCTTTCTTTCGGCTTGAGGTATTTTCCTGGAGAGAATCATAACATCTACTTTTTCACCAGTCTGAAGTCTTCTGCCAGTATTGTCCACGCTCGCAAACTTTTTGGCTACCCCAGATTGTTGTCAGGCTGATAGTCCTTGGCATCCAGAACTGGTCACAACTCCACGAATGAATTAGGAATCTGTTGCCAGCCAAACCTCACTTTGTAGACGGAGCCCCAGAGCTAGCCCATCTATAGACTTTTCCCCGACTGCATGAATAAAGAAACAGTATAAATACCATGCACAATGAATTTCAGTAACTTAATTTTTCAAACTACAATAATTCCTTCCTCAGCATTTTCTGTAAAAGTCTTTTTCCCAATTCAGTCTACAATCAAAATAAAGTAAAATTGAAAAAAAATCTTCACAATGTTTAGTACTTTGCAAGGTTTTGTTTTACTGTGGGTCATGGTAAACCTAAAAATTACTCCTTCTCTCCCGGTTCAATTTGTGACTAAGCTTGGCAAACCTTGCTTTAAATCATGCTGACAATAGGAACGAGCCAGTTATTTGAACAAGTTAAGCTTTTGGTCACAGCTTCCCTTTCTGTTGGTGAATATTCTGGTTCTAACCAGTAGAGGGCAGTGGTAAATCAGGAATAAATCTATGTTGTGGAGACACCAATACAGACCAAAAAGCTGTACAGTTTCCTATTAAGGAATCTCCTCAGTACCTGAAACAGTTTCTAATTGTATTAGCAAATATCTTGGCAGGTGAATGTCTGAGCAGTGCTCGGTTACAAATCTAGTCTCAATCATTTCAGAAAGAAAGGCCTCTGCTTGACTCAGAACTGTCAAATATCAGCAAGTCAGGTTAGACTTGAGTGTTGTATTACCAGCTCATTATGCAGGTAAAGGAAAGGTTTATGCAGGCATACTAAGTAATTACTTTTCCTTTTCAGGAAATGATCTGTTTGGCGAAACAGAACAGGTATATTTCACAGTAATTTCTTGCACAACACTAGTTTTGACTGCCTTGTGCGCAAAATCAGGTGTCAGACACTTAGTACTTGAATACACCATTTTATAAGCACCAGATGAAATACAGTTAGTGTTCAATATATATTTGCTTCTAGATATTATAGATAAAATTTAGAAATTACACAAGAGCAAATGTGGACAGGTGGTGGTGATTAGATGTTTGATTTAGCTTGTTCTGTTCACTTCAAAGTGTACCATGCTAGGAGGATCTGAGAACACAGGTGTATTAGGATTATAGATAGCAACTTGAATTTATGGGGAAAAACATACTAAGGTGTTTTAAATGGGTTTAATCAGATGAAACTGGATCCCTAGTTAAAGAGGGAAATATTAGGAAGGATAATCAAAGACTCGGTCAAGGAAATGCATTTTAAGGAGCATCGTTTTTCATTTGTGTATGGGATGTGAACATCCCTGCGAGGCCAACATTTATTTCCCACCTCTATTTTCCATTGGGAAGGCTTCTTGAACTATCCACAGTCCTTTGGAAGTTGGGATTGAGGTATACACACCCACTACTGTTAGGCGGAGAGTTCCAGAATTTTGACTCAGCTTGTGGGGAGAGAAAGAGATATTGAGTAAAAGAGAGCAAGATCTTAATGAGAATATTCTGACTTTTGCAGGTTAAATGCATAGCTTCCCATAGTGCAGCAAAGGGAGGAATGCAAGTTTGGCCTAGGCTGTAGGAGCATGGATGGTTTTATTGCTGAAGGCTGTTGGAATAAGAGGAGCGGCACGATAATGAAGTGTGTTAGGAGAAAGATAAGGATTTTAAATCTGAGGATTTGGAGGAAATTGAAAATTCAGCAAGGATCTGAGTGACGAGAGCATGACCCAAGTGCAGGATTTAGGAATGTATAGGAACAAGAATAGTATATTCAGCCTGTTCCCTCATTGTAGTTACCTTATGACTGATTTGTATCTCTACTCATTTTTCCACTTTTTTTCCATACCGCTCAACATCCTATTCTAACCAAATCTACCTAATTCAGCCTTGAAACCCCCAGTTGTCCTAGAATTTGCGACATTTTGGTTGACAACTTTTGAAGGAAACCACTACTACCCTTTCTTTGAAAAGGTCACTCCTGATTTTGTTCCTGAATAGCCCTAATTCTCAGATTACATTTCCCTGTTCTTCAGCATTCTGACCAGAATAAATAGTTAATCATAACTACACTATTAAATCTCTTTAGCATTTGATTAGATCACACCTGAAGCGAATACTAAAGTTTATGGAACCTTTCAGCTGACAATAATAGTCAAAGGGTGAGTTAAAATTGAGCAGTTGATGTTCATGGCACCAAATGGTCTTCCTTTGTCTAAATCTAACAACCTATGTTTTTGAGCTGTTGCTTAAATTGTTACTTTTCTACTACATGTTTATTTGACCCTTTCTCATCCAGCACACTGATATCTTGGATTTTGTTTAAGAAAACCATTAGACCCTAGTTCACCTGTTGCAGCTTGTAATTAGCCAATGCTACTGATGTATAAGAAGCTATAATGCTTTTCATCCCTGTTTTTTACAGATGGAAAGCCTGGTGGCAATCTTGGATACTCTAGCGGAAACTCTTGACTACCACTATATCAGCATTACTGAAGAGCAGTCAGAGTCTGATCTGATGCATCACCGAATGGCTTTTATTAGCATTGCGTTATTCACTATACGCCTGCTACAAATAATTCTCCCTGTGGAGAAGGTGAGCTTGTACATTTTATCGAACATTTGTGGTTGTTATAGGTAGCAGTTAGTTACTGTAGATTTAAAAAAAACTGACATTGTGTCACATTGTGACATCTGTGTTTACATCATGTGTGTTTATGTATATCTGCATTATTGAGTGTTGTTGGTTTGAAGATTGCCACAGTTACTTGGTATATTAATAATTGAGATATTGACCCTTGTTTCTGGTGTACTTTCATTTTTTTATATTTATGACTTCCTCTTTTATGCCATTGTCATCCGAGCTGACCATTCATTATGTAAAGTGTTTGACGTAACAGTGCACTAAGTGCAGGCACTGGAGCATACAATAGAAATAATGAGCTGCGGTAGGCAATATCAGTTGTTGAGAATTTTGAAGAGATTTCTTTCCAGTAATATTATGAGCTACAGCCCCGAGGGTTACAGACATTTCACATTTGTGGTTTGATTCACAAAGATAGTGCTTTATCCAAACTGTCGTTCCTATTTGGTCTTGGCACATGGGACAAAATGTTAGTTTGCTTGGACTAATCACAAATTGTCCTCTTCGAGTGGACCTCTGGAAATACCAAACAAATCCATAAACATTTTCCCCGTAAAACACCCAGGAAATAGGTTCAGTGACTCTTAGGAAGACAGCACATCACTCACTACAGAAAATGTATTTTGTGGGGACTTAAAACGATGCAGAATTCTCAAGCAAGTTTGCCTCTTTGAAATTCCTTCACTGCAGCACAATGTGTCTATACAAAGTGTAGTTGTCACCATTTAGGAGCTATGCATGGTGTCATTATGTGTATGTATTAAGAAATAATGCCCATTACTAGAAGGTTGACTGATCTGAGACTAAGAGCAGAATAAAATTACAAAGGGGTGCCTTTAGTGCATTTTAGTGATAAATTGGGGCTTGCATCATGTTGGCCAGCTCTTCCTAGTTACCTTTTGAAACTAGGCAGTCTAAATGCGGATCTGTCAATCTATGCGATTACTTCCGCAATGATCAAAATCAAGGTTTTGTGTTGTGATTTTTGTCCAAAGGGACTTGAGACTGAAGAGAGAATCACCTTGAGAATTTTGTATTGTTTCAAATTACTGTAAAATCCTACAGACAATGAGTGAAATGCTTTCTACCAGAGTTACTGAACCTATTTCTTGGCTGTCCTACTGGGAAAGGTCTGTGGGTTAAGATAGTATTTCCAATGGTGCCTTCCAGGAGAAAAAAATCGATTAGTTCAAACAAGCTAGTGTTATCTCCCAGGACTCTTACACGTACTTTGACTAAAAGGGAATGAAGCAAACAGCACTTCTTAGATGAATTCCACAAGCATGGTAATATCTGTAAGTTTGTCAAAAGTTTGCCAGTATTAAGTGAAGGAAATCCGTTAAACATCCTCATCATTTCACATTGCCTTGTTCATAAGGAGTATTCAAAATACACACCGTATTAGTTTTGTGTCTTCTTCTAGCTGTTATGTTCTCATTATGTAAGGAAACCTACATTCAGTCTGGATCAAATCATTCATTTTATGGTGATTAGCTTTACAGGTAATCTTGGAAATAACTCTGGAGCACATGATTTGGGGTGATGATAATACTTGATAGCTGGACTTTATTGAATTTAGCAAAAACCATCTCTTCTTCTGTGTAACAGTTTGGATGAACCTTGAAACAAATTATGATCCTTCCGGTATGCATATTCCAATTTTCCTGAGTTATACTGTATTCAGAGAAGCATAATTTTGCAGACCATTCAGTAAAATGAAAAATTCAGGCATACTCCATAGGATAGGCTCTGTGAAATTAGAAATGATGCTGTGTACAATCACATTTTTCATTTCTACACTCATTTTGGCTGCATATTACTCAAACATGATAAATTTGCAACATTTTTTGTGCAGATGCAGTACTCAACAAAAAAAACTTCCATTCCCTACCTCACCTGTTGCAAAGAGTAGTGCAAAAAACATATCATCTTATTTATGAGATTTAGTCAAGAAAAATTATTTGAAGTTTGGTCTTAACCTCTCTTGTTATCAAAACCTGATATAAGATGCTACTTCTAACAGCACTGATATCAGGTTCAAAGGGTAAGTGTTCAGTTCTTACCTGGTCAGCAACATCTTCAAAACAGATATCTATTTTAAATAGAACTGTCCTCATTTAGTAACGTGTTTGCCTACACAAGTGGGCCTATTCAATGAATGCAATTATAAACACCCCTCAGAAGAAGCACTGAGGGTTGCAAGGGCATGAAGTGCATTCTCAGTAGGGGCCTTCAAGTGACACAGTGACACATTTACTGACTAAGCTTGTTGCCTCCTAAAGGACGTATCCCCCCAGACTGGATTTGGATGAGAGAGTCAATGCAGGTGAAAAGCCTACTTAATCTTGTAAACATCGTCCCACCTGTTTAGATGAATCTGTCATGATGCAATTGGGAAAAGAGACTGCCATATACCTCTGGTGGAGATATGTGCCTGTTTTTATACTGAGGATATCCTTCACTTTGTGTGGCATTACTACTGTGCGAAATTCAGGCTACACTAGTACAATGAAAAATCTAACCATCGCCCCTTGATATTCAGTGACATTACTACCTCTGCATCCTCCACTATCAACACCGTTGACCAGACACTGAACTAGATAAGCTTTATAAATATTGTGGCTTCAAGAGCAGGTCAGAGGCTAGAAACCCTTCAGTCAGTAACTCCCCAAAACTTGTCAGCAATCTACAAGGAACAGTTAGGACTGTGATGGAATAATCCTCTCTTGCCTGGATGAATGCAGTTCCAACAACTTTGTAGAAAGTTAACATAATCCAAGACAAAGCAGCCCATTTGATTTTGTGCACCTTTCACAAATATTTGCTCCCTCTTTCACCAATACTTAATAGCAGCAGTGTGCATCATCTACAAGACACGCTGCAGAAATTCCATCAAGGCTTCCTCCAAATCCATGACCACTACCTTCCAGAAAAATGAGCATAGCAAGTCTATAAGAACAGTAAATCTTGCATTTTCCCTCTAAGCCACTCATCATCCTCACTTGGAAGTATATAGCTATTCTTTCAATGACTGGGTCTCCTCGCTAATGGTATTGTGGTCTACCTATACCTAATGGACTGCGGTGATTCACCAGACCTTCTCGAGGACAACTAGGGATGAGCAATAATTTCTGGGCCAGCCAAATCCTGTGAATGAAGTTTTAAAAAGCTATGGGTTCAGGGCATAGATTGGGTATCTGTGGGATGCTGTGAGCTAGCATCAGCAACAGAATTGTGTTCCAAACTACAACCTAACATCCATGGATCAGGATATTCCTAACTCTATTATTACAGCAAGCAATGAGGCTAACACTTGTTCAATGCCAAGTGTAGGAGAGCATCCTTGAAGCAGTACCGTGAAGAGACAAAAATAGAAATTGCTAGAAAAGCTCAGCAGGTCTGGCAGCATCTGTGGAGAGAAATCAGAGTTAATATTTTGGGTTGAGTGACCCTTCCTCGGAACGGCACTGTCTGAATCTGGTAGCTCTACAAAATGTTTATCACATGCATACTAAAACATCAAAAGCTGCGAGTGACAGACACACTTAAGTAAGTGATTTGTAACCAGCAGATCAGATCAGACTCTGTGGTCTTGCCTTTTCCACCTATGAATGTTGGTGTATAATTAAACGACTAACAAGAGGAGAAGGTTCCACAAACATCCCTAACCTAAAATATGCAGAAGCCTAGCATTTGAGTGCAGAAGACAAACTGATCCATCTTGACCTCCTTCTGAGTTCCCCACCATCACTTGCCAGCAAACCAATTTGCTGCACTCCGCATGAAATCACTTAAAAAGCTAAGCACATTAGATGCAGCAAAGGCCATATGCTCCAAAAAAAATGTACCCAGGAAAAGCTACATCCTAGCCAGGTTGTTCCAGTGCAGCTATCATACCAGCATATATCTGTATAGTCAACAATGTGGAGAAATTGCCAAGTTACGTCCTGTCCTCAATAAAAGACAAAACCAATCTGATCAATATTATCCCTTCAGCCTTCTCTTGATAATCATCAAAGTGATGGGTGGTGAAATTGACAGTGGCACTTCAACAGCAACAACCCCTGCTTAGTTCAGGCTCTGTTTGGACCACCTATTTTCTGACTTCATTCCAGCCCTGATCCAAGCATGGTCAACAGGTCTGAATCCAGATGTGAGGAGCATCCTTAAATCTAGGTGGCATTTGACCAAAAGCCTGGTAAAAATTGAAGCCATTGGAAAATGGAGAAAAATTCCAACATTTGAAATCTTATCGAATATTCAGGAAAATTACTGTAGTTCTTGAAGGCTAAATTTCTCAGGCCCAGGGTATTGCTACAGAGATTCCTCAGGACCGTGTTCAAGTCCCAACTATGTTGACCTGCTTCAATTCCTTACTCCTTTACCATGAGGTCACAAATGAGTGTGCTCTCTTGTTGAACTGTTTGGTTCATTTGCAACTCTTCATCTATTGAAGCTGTCCTGCATGCAGCAAGACCTGGATGTCATTTAGGCTTGGGCTGATACATAGCCAGTGACATTCATGCCGGTTAATGGCCATTGTTGATACCACCAGTGTTTTTGTTTGTTTTTCTCATTTTCGGTTTGGAATTGGGATAAAGTTAAGACCCAGACTTTGACCATTGAACAGTTGCTTGTTTTTTTTTTAATAAAGGACAAACCAATATTTGTACATGGGAACTGTCCATGATAACTGCAAGTTAATTATTCTAAGAACACTGCAAACATTTTGGCAATACAGTGTGTTGCGTTTAAGGACTGGCGGCTGATTGAATGTTGCATTGGTCAATTAAGGAGAAGCCAGTGCTGGCCAGCCAACCACTGAGAATGTTGAAAAAGGAAGAGAAACCATGGATATAACTGGTTTTTGACTGAGTTTGTTTCAATGCAGAAGTCTGTGTGCTGGGATGCTATATTTTGAGTTTTACTCTTTCTAGTTTATATACAGTTTAAGAGTTGTTGAATGTTCTGAGAAAAGAAAATCATAGCTCATAAGAAATAAGTGAATATTCCTCGGAGCCTGCAAGTAGCTTTCTGTATTGACCAGTGACTTCAGAATTCAAGCAAGATACAATCCTTTGTGTATGGAATACAACGCTTTGTTTGAGGGTTCCATAACGACCTTGTACTCTTTGCTAAAGCTGTTCTGAACTGGTAAATTAAAGCCCGCTTATTTTCTTCATAATTTATGCCTTAACAGTATCTGTCTGTCGATCTCTGTGTGAGAGTGGGAGTTGATATCAAAGAAGATTGGCTCAAATCATAGATCTTAATTAGGTTACCATGTTAGAGTCATAGAGTCATACAGCATGGAAACAGACCCTTCGGTCCAACCAGTCCATGCCGAACATAATCCCAAACTAAATAAGTCCCACCTGCCTGAAGCTGGCCTATATCTCTCCAAACCTTTCCTATACATGTATCTAAACAAATGTCTTTCAAATGTTGTAATTGTACCCCCATCCACCACTTCCTCAGGAGGTTCATACCACGTGCGAATCACCTTCTCCGTAAAAAAAAAAA